GTTTACTGTAGGTTAATGACATACGGGACATTGTTGTTTTCAACACAAAGGTTAGGGAAGGTCTCCTTCTGAGGCAAAAACGAGACATTTGGCAAGTAAGTGGCCTGACTACCCTCCCTGTGTCCCTCTCCAGCCCCCTAGGTAAGGGGGAGGGGCTGGCCCAGGACACCTCCTCAGTGCAGGAACCGTAGCCAAGCTGGGTTAAGACCACCTGAAAATGGTGACTTCTGTTTCACGTTCTGTCCCCTCATAGCCACGCTGTAACAAAAGAGAGCTGACCAAAAATTACAGTCAAAGGAGAATGCTAACCATGTGTGTTTTGAGTTAACAATCAGAGGTTTACATTTTACGAGAGACATTTTAATAGTAAAACTATTCTTAAGCTACTTTGCCTTACCTTGAGTTGTTGGAATTAGGTAGTTGACATATGCTCCTCTTGGAGCACATGTTCTGTGTTAGCGGTTGTTTTTACAGTCAACAAGTTGATAACAGGTCTACAAACACTCTCAATTTTGTATCTACAGCTAGACATTTTGTACTTTGAAATTCAGGACTGCTTATACGTGGTAGAGTAATACCACACAATGTAAAGTGTGATCAAAACGACTCCTTTCTGTTTTTCTTTTATACAGTACACATTCTGGAACTTCATACCCAAGAACTTATTTGAACAATTCAGAAGAATAGCCAACTTTTATTTTCTTATCATATTTCTGGTGCAGGTAAGTCTGGTCATCTTTTTCTGTCACCTCAAGTGTAAATATGAGTAAGTGGCATTTATTCTCAGGTGACTGGTTTGCTCCTCAGAAGGAGGAAGCACTTAATGCCCCTTTATCTGCAGCTGCTTCACTTGTTTTCTTCAAGGACAAGCATGTTGGGTCAGAGAGACCTGTTCACTAAAACACAGGCGTGAGCGCTGTGCATGTGAACTGGTCCTGGCCGCTTTCCGTCCTCATTCTCCAGTACTGACGGGAGAGCAGGGTCTTCCTAATCTTTAGGGGGGATTCTCCTAAAAAAAAAAAACATTAAGAGAAAGAGAGTTAAAAAAAAAAGAGAGTGAAAACCACAGCGAGGTATGGATTAGGGAACAGGTCAGATGTGCTTTAAGAACAGCAACCTAACTTGTTTCAATCATACAAAATACCGTTGAAGGACTTTTAAAATTTCCCCGACAGTAATTTATGCAACTAATGTAATTAAAGTGTGGCACCAGAGCAGAGGGGTGAATTGAAATAAAACGTGCACTGGGGTCAGCTGGTGTCTTTGCCACTGCCGACGTGGCTTCCTAAGCACAGCCCGTAATTAAGGAGAACTGCCCTCAGTTTCATAGTAAAAATTCGTATCTAGTTTATCTCCAGGGGTGGGATGAAGTGGGGTGATAGTAAAGTGAGTTAAAACGAGTCAAAGCAAACGTCGGCAGGTGTTACAGGGCCAGCCAGTCCGTCTAAAGCCCCCAAGAAGTGTTTCTGAAAATGACTCAACGGTTCTCTTCGCACTGCAGCTGATTATTGACACGCCCACGAGTCCAGTGACGAGCGGCCTGCCGCTGTTCTTCGTCATCACCGTCACAGCTATCAAGCAGGTGAGCCTTACAGGCAGAAGGGACGAAGGTCCTGCAGAATCTCTGCTATAGGACATCGCCTTTCATCCAAAGCAGAGTTCCCCGCCTTGTTTCAGCTGGTTCGTAGGAAACTTAGCTGACTTCTCGAAATCCACTTTTGTGACTGGTTTAGATAGTCTTGAGCTAAGAGATGCTTGAGTTAAAAGAAGAGAGATTGTGTAATTTAGTGCTAGTTTGTCGCCCCGAGCGTTTGAAGAGGACACGGTCGTTCTCACGTGGAATCACCCGGAGACACAGCACCTGAGTTGCCTCGCCCACTGTGTCCCCGGCTGCCCGAACCCCGAGGACCTGCTCGTGCAGAGGGTCTGGGGTGCGGCTCCATAAGGAGAACAGCCCGGCGACCCCTGACTCGCTCCGTGTGGATTGCGCTGCTCTTTGCAATCCTGATAGATAAAGCCGGTGACTAACAGGAAGGACAGGTCGTCTGTTAGTCCCACCATCCACTCAGCCAGCTTAATGCTCAACCATCACCTCTGCTTAGTTCCAGAAAATTCTCGACATCTTGAAAGAAACCCCCGTACCCGTGAGCGTCACTCGCCACCCCCCTCCGCAGCTCCTGGCAGCCACCAGCCTACTTCCTGTTGCTATAATTTGCCTATTGGGGACATTTCCCATTAACAGAACCATACAGTAGTGATCTTTTGTGTCTGGCTTATTTCACCGAGCGTGTTTTCAGGGTTTATCCACGTTGTAGCCTGTGTCAGCGCTTCATTCACAGATGAATAATATTCCATCATGTGGACAGACAGACCACATTTTATTTATCCGTCATCCACGGATGGACATTTGGGGTGCTTCTACTTTTTTTTTTTTTTAAATGTGGCTTTATTTATTTATTTGCTTACTTCTTGCCACATGGCGTGGCTTGTGGAATCTTAGTTCCCCGACCAGGGGTCGAACCCAGAGAAAGCGCAGAATCCTAACCACTGGATCGCCAGGGCATTCCCGGGATGCTTCTACTTTTTGTCTATTATGGAGAACACCGTTATGAACATTCACATGTAAGCTTTGTGTGGACATAGGTTTTCATTTCTCCTGGGTACATACAAAGGAATCGAGTTGCGCTACTGTTGTAAAGAACTGCCAAAGTATTCTCCAAAGTGACTGCCCCATTTTATGCTCCAACCAGCCGTGCGTGAGGTTTCAGTTTTCCACATTCCTGCTAAGGCTTGTTGTCCATCTTTTTTATTACACTTACCCGAGCGGGTGTGGGGTGGTATCCCACTGTGGCTTTGATGTTACGTTTCCTTGGTAACCAATGATGCTGAGCATCTTTGCATGAGCTGATTGGCCTTTTGTAAATCTTCTTTAGAGAAATAGCTTCAGGTCATTGGCCTGTTTTTAAATTGCGTTGTCTTTTCCTCCACGAGTCGTGAAAATTCTTTATATGTTGTAGATACAAGTCCCTTATCTGCTGCAGACTTTTTTTTTTTTTAGTGATTTATTTATTTACTTATTCATTTGTTTTGGCTGCACCGGGTCTTAGTTGCGGCATGCGGGATCTTTTAGTTGCGGCATGCAAACTCTTAGTTGCGGCATGCATGCGGGATCTAGTTCCCCGACTAGGGATGGAACCCTAGCCCCCTGCATTGGGAACGCAGAGTCTTACCCACTGGACCACCAGGGAAGTAAGTCCCTGCTGCAAACTTTTGAACAGGATGACATTTGCATTTGAAATAATTTACAGAAAGGTAGCATCTAGTTAAATTCTTGATGGTCACATTGTTGCTGACAAAGCCATGCTTTCTGTGTTAGTTTCTAAATAAAAAATTAAGAAACTGAACACACATGTCACATGAGACATGGTTCAAGTGACAGTGGGTGGCAGTGGGAATGAGGTGACGCATGGCGGAGTGATTGACTCCAGACCGAGAAAACATGAAGAACGGAGTCTCAAGGTGACCTTTGTGAGTGTAAGGGCGGTGCCTGTATCTCTCCCAGCCAGTCTTCAGTGTGAACGTCTGGACTGGTCTGTATTTAATACAGAACCATGAGAAACATTTAAGGATTCCTTTGTGATAACTTGGGTTTTATTTTCCAGTCATCTGGAAATACAGATTTGAACAACGATATGATTTTACTTTATACCCATTAAATTGGCTTTTAAATGTAAAAGTCTGAAGAGCAGATGGGATTAAGACGTGGTCGAACAGGCATCCACACACACTGATGGGAGCATGTCAGGACCGTCTTGGGGAACAGTTTGGAATATCTGGCAAAGCTGAGGATGTGATACAGGGACCCACAGGTGGACCCTGGTCTATGTACTTAGCACATACTGTGTGAGCCTCTTAGAACAGACCAGTCACCTGGGCTGGCGACCCCAGGCCCGATCTTAGAGGGTTCTGCCCTGAGACAGAGATGTAGGCAGAGCCGAAAGAGCCCCGAGCCAGCCCCAAGAGCATCCTGACCACAGCCAGGGGCCTCTGGATACAGCAAGTGTCCCTGTCCCTAAGTGTGTGCCCTCGAACTCCCCGCCCTGTGGCTACGGAGTGACGGCGGTGGTAGCAGCTGTTGGTGGGTGAGACCCGCCCATGGGCACAGAAAGCTGCCACCTTGGCCGGGACACGGTGCCCTGCGCAGCCCGGGTCCATCCTGGCTCGACCCTCAGACATAGGCCAGCAGACCCAAAGGGCCTGAGGAGAGGACGAAGGAGGTCCCTTGTCAGAGCTGTGACCTTCCAGGGCCACCCGTCCCCAAGCTAACCTCCAGCTCTGCCAGCCCCCCACTTCCTCCTCAGCCCCCTCCCCCCTCTGCACGCAAAGCCCCTCCCACGGAGCCCACCGCCCGGCCAGCCCCCGAGCTCCCGTCCTCCTCTGGGTGCTGAACAGCCGACATCGGGCGCCTCTGCGTGACCCTTGCAGCGCTCACCTGGGTGGGCACAGCCCCTGGGTGCCGCCCGCTCCCCTGCCCACCTGCCCGCGGCCCTCACCCCTTCCTCAGCGCTCCTGAGACCCAGGGGGCTCGAGCGGCCCTCGGCCCCCCAGGGACCCCAGGCACAGCCCCACTGACCCGAGGGCGGCCATGCGCCTGCGCGGGTCCCGGCGGGGAGCCTTTGGAGCTGTGTCGGGTGGGGCGGAGTCGGGTTGGTCCTGTCCTTGCGGGCCGGAGGCCGCGGCACGGGGCAGCCGGGACGCGAGCAGGAAGGGGTCGGTTCAGGACGTGTGTCCCTGTGCAGGACGTGCCAGGAGTTGCCCGGGTGGGGGCTGGGTGCGAGGGAAGGGAGCACAAAACGTGACGTGGCTTCGTGCACGGCGGTGGCGGGAGCCCAGGGACGCGGCTCCCCCCGCTCGTGTCCACACGCACTTGACCGTGGCCACGGCCGCCCCCGCCAAGTCCAGGAGGGGCTCACGGCGTTTCTCCCCCACCGCAGGGCTACGAGGACTGGCTGCGCCACAAAGCCGACAGCGCCGTGAACCAGTGCCCCGTGCACTTCGTCCAGCACGGCCGGCTGGTGCGGAAGCAGAGCCGGAAGCTCAGGGTGAGTCCCCGCCCGCCGACCCCAGAGGCCCCCAGACGGCCGCAGACCTGTTACGATGAGGAAACAGCGCCACGGGGCTGTTTTCTTTGGCCAAACCTCCGTCTGAAATGGTTTCATTTATTGGATGCAGGCCCACCCTCTTCCCCAAGTACTGCTCACTTCAGGCAAGCTCCTACCACTATCTTTCTTTAACTTCTTACTTCTATGTATTTATTTTTAAAGCTTTAATCGACTTTATTTTTAGAGCAGGTTTAGGGTCACAGCAAATTGAGTGGAAGGTCCAAAGCCTCCCCGTGTCTCCCCCGCGCCCGGTCCCCCATGCACAGCCTCTCGGCCGTCAGGCTCCCCCCAGGCCTGTTGTCTGAAGCGTATGACGTGATAGTAACCAGTCCAGACAGGGAGAGCTCTAAACACCTGTAGAGAAGTTATTTTACAGTAAGGCAGAATCATATTAGTGTGATCAGCTCTACTAGCTGGAAATTTATGAAAATGGGGACAGAAAGCTCCCTGAAAGCTGCATGTTAATTTCTTCTTTTTCAATATATTATTGGTGTAATAATGCATCATTATGTTTAAATTCAAGTTTAAATTATTTAAGTGGATTATTTTCAGGCCTGTGCTAGCCGTTTAGAAGCGCTTACACGTGTGCAGGTGATAAGTATGATTTTTACGGTTTGTCCCCGAGTCATGTCTCGCTGTGAGCCTGGGGGTGGAGCCTGGCCACCCTCCCCCGGATCCTCCTTGGGCTAGTCCTCCCCCTAGTCGCCGCCTCCCTCGCCCTCCCCTGCAGCCCCACCATCCCTCTGTCCGCCCCGGGGCTGCTTTCCTGGCCAGAAGTCCTGGCAGGGCCATCGGGAAGCTGCTGTGGGAGAGAGTCGCCAGCGCTCGTGCACAGGGACAGAAAGGTGGGCCTCCGCGTCTTTGAACCTGAGCCTCTGCTTCCGGGCACATCCCCAAGCCCTGGGAGGGGCAGCCGGTCAGCCTGGGGGTCAGTGGGTATCTCTGGTGGAGGACAGGGTTCGGGATGCCGGGACACTCCTGTTTCAGGTGTCATCAGCACGTGGTCCATCTTCGTTAACCTCATAATAGTTATTATATGTGTTCTATATTGGGGGTATTTTTAAGTTTCTAAACCACATTTTCTTTGTTTTATAAATTTCACCATCCAGGTGTTTCAGTAATTCCCCTCCATTAGCCTAGGTTGGCGACATTTTCCTAGTGGTCAAGGAGTCAGGAGGTGGGGAGCTGGGAGGACAGCCTCTCAGTATGGGAACAGCAGTGGGGACCCCCATGTATATATTAACAGGCTCTTTCGGACCCTAGGCTCCAAATACCGTTTCCTTTAACAACTACATTTCCTTTGCAAAGTCTTCTATACTTTTAATAAACATCTCTTCAAAAACAGACCGAAACAGTACCTGTCAGCAGAAAATTGAATTTTTAATGTATCGATCTCCTATGGGGAGTGTCTGCCCTGTATCCAGCCTGTTTTACCCGAGAGGATTTTAATGGAGTCTGTGAGACAAGGAGGGAAGCAAAGGCTGCTTGTGGCGAGAAAAGGAACCTTCAACTTGTCCACCTCCAGGATTTGTCCTCGCGTGGATGGTGTCACACAGTCTGTAACTTTCATGCAGCTGAATTCCCTTGGGACTCACCCAGGTTGGGCATCTGGACGCCTTCCTTTCGTTGCAGAGTCTGGGGGGCGGTTGTGGCCCAGGTGAAGGATGTTGATGTTTCTCCAGTTTGGGGCCGTTCAAATAAAGCTCTTGTGAACTTTTGTGTACAGGTTTTTGTATGAGTATAGTTTCCGTTTCTCTGGCATAAAAACTCAAAGAGTTCAGTTGCTGGGTTGTCATGAAATTACGGTAGAAGGAACGGCCAAACCATTTCCAGAGCGTCTGCACTGTTGTACCAGCAACGTGTGAGGGGCCCGTTTCTCGGCCTCCCCGGTGGCGTTGGGTGTCTCGCCGTTTCTTCTCTCGGTCGTTCTGATTGTCGGTGCGGTTTAAGTGTGTGCTTCCCTAGAGGCTGGTGAGCATCTTACCGTGTGCTTATTTGCCATCAGGGCATCCTCTTCATGAAACATGTGTTCATGGCCCTTACCCATTTCCTACTTGGATTATTGAGGGCTTTTACTGTTGAGCGTTGGGAGTTCCTCTATTCTCGAACCTGGTCCTCTGTCAGAAGTGCCTTCATGGGGTATTCCGCAAAGCAGAAGTTGTTCATTTTGATGGAGTCCCATTTACTGATCTTTCCTTTTATGGCTGCTGCCTTTCGTGTCAAGGTCAAGAACTCTTTGCCAAGCCCTGGAGCCCAAAGGTTGTCTCCTGTTTTTTTTTCCCTGCAAGTTTTATAGTTTTATGTTTCAGATTTAACTTCCTGATCCATTTTGTGTTACTTTTTACGTCAGGTGTGAGGTTTAGGTGAAAGTCCCTTTTTTGGCCCAGGACTGACCAGGTGCTCGTCTGTTGGAAGGGCTGTCCCCCCTCCATCGAGTGGCTTTCGTACCTTTGTCCAAAGTCAGTTAAGCGTATTTTCGTGGGTCTGTTTCTGGGCTCTGGGCTGCGTCGCGATGGCCTGTGCCCGTCTTCTGTGGGGACCACCGGGGACCATTCAGTGCTGATCACTGCGGCCACGTCACAGGCTTCATGCCCGCAGGGTGACCGCCCACCTCATCTGCCTGCTGGAATACAAATGGTGCAAATATTTCTATCATTGCAAAATAGAATATCGCAAACTATTCTGTCATAATGCACTGTGAAGATCCCAGGTCTAAGGCTGGGGCATTGACCTCACAGGTCTTTCCTGGGTTTGGGCCAGATGTCCGGGCAGCGATGTTTCTCAGTCATATTAGCATCCACACGCCTTCCTGCAGGTAACACCGTGATGGTGTCTGTGGGAGCCGCTGCCTGGAGCCCGGCTTTCGGTTCACGGTGCTGCTGTCTGTCTGTCCCGCAGGTCGGGGACATCGTCATGGTCAAGGAGGACGAGACCTTCCCCTGTGACCTGATCTTCCTGTCCAGCAGCCGCGCGGATGGGACCTGCCACGTGACCACCGCCAGCCTGGACGGAGAGTCCAGCCACAAGGTAACGTGCCTGTCGTTTGTGCCCCGTCGGGACCCGTCGGGACCTCCGCATCCTCCCAGCTGTGCTCCTGTGGGCAGAAGCTGCACCGGGCATGAGGCTCTGTGTTCAGGGGAAAGCCAGGGACTGTTTTCCTCTCGTTTGCTTCTCCCTGTTTCCCACTTTCTTCCTTCCACCCTCAGCCCCCCTAACGACCAGCCTCTCAGGTTAACAGAAGCAGCTCCACGTTCCTTATTTAGCTGCGTCGTTTAGCGTCGGTACCTAGTTAAGGATGGAAGGAAGAGATTGTTGGAATTTTGAAGTTTCCATTCTACTGGTCCAAGTTAGTGACTTGACTGGACTGGAATTGTGTGAAAAGTAAGTCGTGAGTCTAGATTTTGCCCGACTTACATCAATGAGTGTCTTTTTTTTTTTTTTTTTTTTAATTTTTGGTTGCGTTGGGTCTTCGTTGCTGCGCGCGGGCTTTCTCTAGTTGTGGCGAGCGGGGGCTACTCTTCGTTGCGGTGCGCGGGCTTCTCACTGTGGTGGCTTCTCTTGTTGCAGAGCACGGGCTCTAGGCGCGCAGGCTTCAGTAGTTGTGGTGCACGGGCTTAGTTGCTCTGCAGCATGTGGGATCTTGCCGGACCACGGCTCTAACCCGTGTCTCCTGCATTGGCAGGTGGATTCTTAACCACTGTGCCACTAGGGAAGCCCTGTGAGTGTCTTTTTGTTAAAATATCTTAGTAAGGATTTTCTGAAATTATGATTCATTTCTTACGCTCAATATGGAATTCTGTACCAGCAGCTACAAAATTTTAATTAACAATCACAAAAGAAGAAACACATCGCTAGTAATTTTAAGGATTTCATTGTTTTAAAAGCCTGGAAGCTTCCAAGGAGTTTATGAAAGTGAGCCTTGCTCTGAGGCTCTGGCTCCAGAAGTGCAGCTCTAACAGTGCCTGAATGCCGCCCGTGGACACAGGCGATTCTATGCGGGAAAGCACCAAAGGATGCCCTAATCCTTTGTGGGTGACTTGGGGTGTCACCATATGAAGCCCCATGGGGTTTCCCACGTTTACTCTCACATTTTCTATGTAACGAATCCCAGGAGGGGGGACCCTTCTGGCACAGTCAACTGTCAGGGAAAGCAGTTCTGGGCTGGAAAGCGCTGGGTGTCCAATGGCCGTTGGAGCTTGGGGTATCGTGTCCCGTCCTCCCCAGCCCCGGCGAGCCGTGCACACCCGGCTGCGGGCAGTGGGCTGCCCTCTGCACCCCGACCCACAAAGGGACATCACTGCCTAGACGCATCCCTGGAGCAGACGCCACGAGCCTCCGGGTGCCTCACTGCTGTCAGGGTGAAGTTCAACAGCAGTCACCCTGGTCCAGACGTGGCCCATGTCTGCACCGGGGCTGCGCTTGGACCTCTCTGTGTTTGTGCTTGGGGGGGCCGGAGTCACCTGAGCCCTTTCCTTAAAAGCAGAGGTCACGCCTACAGTCTTCACATCTGTAAGATGGGGGCAAACCTGTGTTCCAGGGGCTCTTGTGAGGCTATAACTAGGAAATGTCCCAAAGTGCCGGATACACAAGTGCCTCCACAACGTTGCAGGAATGCTGTGGTCACACCCCCTATTGCTCTGAATCCTTTCACACTTTGCCCGACACTCATGGGAGACACGGAGGAGACTGCATCCCCTCCCCCTGCCCCTCCTTCCTGTCTCTTCCCAAGGCTGGTCCACGCATCCACGTTCCCTGGTGCTGTCTGGGCCCATCTTCTCAAAATGGGGTCCCAGACCCCAGCACCAGCATCACCTGGGATCAGGTTAGAAATGCGGTTCTCGGGCGCCACCCCAGACTCACGGCCTCAGAAACTCTGGGGGCGGGGCCTGGGGTCCGTGGCCCCCTTAGTTTGAGGAGCCCTGGGGTCAAGGCCAGGTGAGGATCCGTGCAGAAAGCTGTGCTCCCCGGACAGTGACAGGTGAGGGCCACTTGCCATGCCTGCGACAGCTGTCTGTGAACCACATAAACAAAAAAGAATATTTTAGGTCCCAAATTTGTTTCCTCATTCAGAGCCACCACTCTGACAGATGAATCCAAGTGTCCAGTTTTGAAGAAGAATTCTGTTAGTTGAGGACACTGGGTAAGAATGGAAGAATTTTCTGGCACCTAATAGGTACAGGAATCCCGGTGGTACCTACAGTTCTGTAACCTTGTTACATTTGCAAACTCTTTATTATACACCCTGTCTCGTATGGTAACCAGGCTTTGTAACCAGACTTATTTATATGCCTAAAAAATTAAACATTGGTGCTGCCCTAGGATGGGAGGCCCCTGACGCTGGGTTTGTCTTGATCATTTTGGCTGTGAATTCCCATTTCTTGTCAATCTGCAGACCCATTACGCAGTTCAAGACACAAAGGGGTTTCATACGGAGGAAGATATAGATTCTCTCCACGCCACCATCGAGTGTGAGCGACCGCAGCCCGACCTCTACAAGTGAGCCGGCTTCCTCCCCGGGGTCCTCGCTGCTGTCCGTGCCCATGGCCCAGTCGCGCGGGGGTTTGGAATGAGATTGCAAATCACTGCTGAAAAATTAGGACCTGGTCAAACATACATTACTTCTGTATTTTCATAGTCCAGCAACATTCCAATCCATAAATCTTAATACAAATATTTGAAAAGGCTTAATGGGACTACCTTTGTCGAAGAAAAATGAATTTTCTGTATTTTGAGGAAGTGACTCTAAGGGAAATCATTTAGGTCGTGAGCTAAAAGTGGGAGGAGGGGGGAGGAGTGGTTTAGCCTCACACCCCTGTGTTTCCATTACAGAATCCCAGTCCTTCTTAGAAACGGGTCAGGGGTGAGGAGGGGGGTTCCCCAGAGCCGGGGTCTCGGGTCCTGCCCCCTCCCCGGTTCCCTGTTGCCCTGGCAGTGACCTGACTCTCCTGTCCCCAGGTTCGTCGGCCGCATAAATGTTTACAGCGATCTGAATGACCCCGTGGTGAGGTGAGGATTCCTGCTTCTTCTAAACACTTGGCGATTTCCTCTCTATCGTTCAATTAAACGTGGATTCTTTTCCTGATGAGAGTTTTTCATCGTTGCTGTCCTGCTGGGTTTGAGGGGGGAATTCTGCGTGACCAGAGGTCCGGGTTCCACTCCACTTGCTGGTTTCTCTTGTGTACACGTGTCTGGACGCGTTAACAGACGAACGCCCCCGTGGAGCATGTTCTCCCATGACTCTGTCGAGGGTCTTCTCACAGCCGGGAAGGGTGGGAGCTGGTCCAGCAGGCGAAGGCGAAGGCGCGTTTCCCCAATAGAGACGCTTTCATAGCTGAGCAGACCGTGCGTCTTCGGCCAGGACGTTGAAAGGTTTCTGACTTGGGGGCCGCTTCACTGGGCTGCGTGAATCTGCCCAGACTCACCCCTGGGACACAGCCTCAGTCTTAGACGTTGGGGGATGTGTCTCCCAAGGGCTTGTGTGGGCTCACGTCCCCCGGGGACGGGGGAGTCTGCTTCAGGGATGGGCGGTGGCCAGCGCGGCCACAGGTGGGTGTCCACACCTGCTTCATCAGTGGCCTCACCCCGGGCCGCTGGCGGCGGGAGCCGACTCAGCCCTGAGGTCGTGGCGCCCAGACGAGCCGGCCCTGCTCACTGCAGCTGTGGCCTGTGCTGCCTCACTTCCTGGGCCTTGGGCTTTGACCTGCACGTGGCCTCAGGTCTACGCTGAGGGAACTTGGCTTTCAGTAGGTTTTGACAGCGCTCTCCTTCTTCACAAATCCCGCTGGTTAGAGTAATTATTTTTCTTCCAAGTTCAGCAGTCACTAGATTCTCTGTGTCCTGGCATTGCCTCGTGTATTAAGGAAGATACTGGGCCAGAAGTAGGAAAAAACACTCAGTGGGAAATTACTGCAAAGTAAATCGTCATGGGGTTTATGTCCTTGAAAGGCTCCAGAAATTACTCGCTTTAAGGAGACAGTTGGCACCCCTCTTAGCACATTTTTATCACCATTCTTCATCAGCAGGTTAGCAGTTGCTTTCCAGAATCTGTGGAGGCATTGCCTGCTCGTTCTTAAATACCTGTTGTTCTAAAGGTAAATGCCTGGTTACCTTGGAGAAATAATGTGGATTTCTGTGTCTTGCGAGGGTTAGTTTGAGTCTGAACAAGAGTGAATATATTTAGGCGGATCCGTATTGCCAGCGGGTGAGGCTGGAAAAGTGAGCGCCGCAGGCTTTCCTCGTTTGGTATTTGGACGGAGCTGAAGGCTGAGCCCTTTGGGAAGATAATTACCCATATATTCTGTATTTTGTGTTTTGATACGAGTTTTACTTTAGCTTTTTAAGGATCCATGTGATTCAGCAGACTTTTAATATTTGGGTATTTAGAGACGTTTATAAACTCGTGGTGTGGACAGCTGTGAGTTATATATCTAAGCTCTCAGTCTTTTTGTAGTGATGTTTCTTCATCCTCCTGTCCAAACTAGAAGTGAAGTACTTTTTGAAGTAAATTATTTTTAGACTCCCCAGAGACACTTCATAAAAGGGCCGTTTATTTCCATAAACACCTTGGACAGGAGCTGTCCTAAGTGTCAGCTAACAGAGGCTGACAGTACTTGTAACACAAGCAGACAGCACGTGTGCAGCCGGACGCCTGTCCCGCGTGGCTGTGAGGCTGGGGGACGCACCCTGAGGCCATGGGACAGCCCTGGGTAGGCCCGTCGGTCGGGGCGGGGGGGGGCCCTGCCCACGCACCCTGCTGGGCAGCCCTCCTTTCTCATCTCCAGCCTGATGTGGTCCTGAGCTGGGTCAGCTAAGTATACCGAACACATTTAAGCTTACCACGTTCAGTGGACTCTCAGCCTTCCGCGGTAAAGGGAAATTAAATGCCGACAAAGTGAAAAGCAGGCTTTAGCAAACTGTTCCCTTTACCCCAGATCAACGCTTTCCCTTTACCCTCCGGAGAAAATTGGGAGAATATTGTGAATGGCAAAATTAGTGCATCTGGATTCTGCCTATTTCCCTTCTACTCTTGGGAAACGGGAAGAAATTATCACTCGGTCAACAAAGGGGACCGCGTGTCCACGAGCCCCTGCAGGCAGAGCGTCTGTCTGCGGCTCACTGTCGCGTCCAGAGGGCTTGTTTTTGCGCGAATGGTTCTCAATGCCTCGGTCGCTGCGTGGGCCCCGGGATCGCCCCAGACTCCCAGGCCACCCGCGTTCAGGGGCCCTCGGGGCTCAGCTGCAGTGCTCGTAATGCCACGCAGGGCCTCACAGCCTTCTTCCCTGAGGGCGCGACTGTGTTGTGTGCGTGAAACCCCCGAGGGTGCGGTAGAAACAGCTGAGTGAGGCGCAGGCACCGCGTGGGGTCCCCGGTGCCTCAGGCCTCAGACCTGAAGCCTGTTAGGAGCGGGTTTCCGGGTTGGTCCCTCGAGCGGCGCTTCTGACGAGTGCCCAGGGGCTGCCCCAGCACCCTCGCTGTCACCAGTGGAGCACGTTTAAAGCCTTGGGGTGCGGCCCCGCGGGGCTGGGGCAGGGCCGGGGCCCTGGAGGGGCTGACTCTTCCGGGATCTCCCAGCAGACAGGTTCTTCCCGCCCCCCAGGGAAAGAGCACAAGCTTTTACATGGGCCCGGCTAGCTTTCCTAGTCCGAGCGCAAGCAGATCTTCACTGAGACGGTCTCCTCTCAGAGCGAAGCGTGTGGAGCCGTGAGCGGCTCCTGCGTCCTCTCGTGCCGACCTGCTTTCTCCATTGCCCTGTTTCTGGTCGTCCTTATCTTTGCAGGCCGTTGGGATCGGAAAACTTGCTTCTTAGAGGAGCCACGCTAAAGAACACCGAGAAAATCTTCGGTAAATGTTTTAATTAGTGAATTATTAATAATAGCTTCTAAAACCAAGGCCGTTAAGCAGTTGGAATCCGTAGATTTAACCATGGATGAAAGCGGACCATAAAAGCGTCTCTGTGAGCTTTGAGGGGCTGTGGATTTATGGCCGCGGCAATTTTCCTCACTAAGAAAACCAGCCGCCGCGTATAACCGCAGTCCACAGAGCCGTGACACCTGAGAGTGTAGCTTGCAAATTAAGTGCCTGTAGTTTTTGACTCAGACGTGAACTTACATCTATGAAAGGATTCACGCAGTGTAGTTCTGCAAGAAATTTCCTCTAATGGCTGTATTCATTTGCTAGTATTTCCCACTTCTGGTGGGTTACTTTTTATGTTTTAACTGAAACAACTTATAAATATACAAATGTGTCCCGTTGTTGGAAAACTCAATACATTAAAATCTGAACCTAAAAACAAAGGGCGGATTGCTCTTTATGCAGGAAAAGAAAAGCATTCCTTTGGTCTGAAGAATCCTGTGTGACTTTTTATGAACAGCTAGCTTGCCTAGAAGAATTTAAAATATGACCCGTTTTGTCCAGAATTTCATTTTTATCGTAGCTGTGCATACTTCACGATGTAGAGCAAGACACCGTTGTGGTGGTGTTCTAACATCCGCTCTGTACTTTATAGGTGTTGCTGTTTACACGGGCATGGAAACCAAGATGGCGCTGAATTATCAGTCAAAATCCCAGAAGCGATCTGCTGTCGAAAAGTAAGCTGATTGCCCCGTGGTTCGAAATGTGTAAAAACTCATCCGTGGCTTCCCACTGTGGCAAACCCCCGCAGATGGGGAACCATTTTCCTCTTAGTCTTACTAGCAACTCCTTCATGGGATCTGATGGACAGTCAAGCGGGTTATTTAGACCTTAGATTGACAGCGTTACTTTGTGGGGACGTAAATGGCCACGCACCCTCAGCCACGTCTGCAGGCTCCCGCCCGCGCATGGACACCTGGAGTTCTGGGTCAAGGTCCATTGCGGGTGCCCAGCATCTCCTCCCACCATTTCATGAAAAAGTGAAAGTTCAGTCACTTTTCTGATACGGGTTCAGTGAGGAAAGCATTAGCAGAGGGAACAGTCTTCTTTTCATTAAATGGTAAAATCCTGTTAATGTCAAGGACACAGTTGAATTTGTAAGAAAACATGGCCCAGAATGATGTCTTCTTTGCCTCTCGCAAAAGTGTGTCCTTAACTTGAAGTGTACAACTGAGTGTCCTCGTGTAGCGTAATGAAGCGCTCCGGGCTCCTGGGTGATCTGTGGGGAGACTGTTGAGGCATCGTCTGTCTGCTCCTGGCAAGTCGACCTTGAAATGTGATCCTGGGTCTCTGTCCATCCGTGGCTGCATCAGATATGAACTTGGACAGTTGGTTCTTACTAAAGAAGAATGCTTAGTTTCCAGATGTCTGCACTGACAAATTGGTTTCAGAAATAGATATTGGAAAACCAAACCTTCTTCATAAGCTCCTAAGATACCGGCTAAGGATTCAGCACTTTTCCTATGCGGAGGGCATTCACTCGCTCCCTCCCTCCCCCCTTCCTTCGTGGTGATAATCTCCAAGTTTGGAACTCACTGGCTGGTGCTCCATGGTAGAAGAAATTGATTTCTGGGTGTTCTTTGAATTAAGAGTCCTAGACCATGCAGAAGCCCTGTGAGCCAGGCTGTGCCCTCCTGTCTATAGAAGTTCCCTGCCCTCAGCACTTTCCCAGGTGGCCGCAGGACACACGCCAGTGCCCACGGCGTGTACTCAGATGTAGACGAGTTCGCATTTTCACTTTTACCCTGACAGTTCGTCGGGGCGGGGGAGTCCTGTTGTGCTGTTCCTGTCTGTTCACAACATGTTCATGCTGACGTTTGTGAGAAAGGCGACGCCCAGCTCAGGTTTCCTCGGGGAGCGGGAGCTCAGTCACCCCCGCTGTCTTGTGTTTCAGATCAATGAATGTATTCCTCATCGTGTACCTCTGCATCCTCATCAGCAAAGCGCTGATTAATACCGTCATGAAGTACGTGTGGCAGAGCGAGCCGTTCCGAGATGAGCCATGGTACAACCAGAAGACAGAGGCAGAACGACAGAGGAACCTGGTATGGAAAGGGACTCCGCAGGCTGTCGCTATGGAAACGTGGGCAGACCGGATGAGGTCTAGGTTGATGAAGTCTTTGTAGCAGACGCCGCGCTCATCGATAGTGAAGGTTGTCAGCTGCCTGCCCCCGCCCCGGCCCTGCGGCTGTAGACCCTGGTTGAGCCTCCTTCTTTGGGTATTTGAATAGTCGAGTCTGAAAAGGTATCGGCTTCCATCCCAGATTCATAAGGACACACCTTAAACACCTAACGCTCAGCGTGGGTGACCTGTATTATAAGGGGGGCTGAGTAACTGCTTATTGGTGAGATACACGGCCCCTAATTAGGTAATAGATGGATGAAAGGAGCGTCTCGATGACGATGGGAAATTACAATAAGAATTGGCTTCATTTTTACATACTCCTATTTATCAAAAATGTTTTCCCCCAAACCAGTGAGTTAATTTGATGACATGTCCTCTGCTTAAAGCAGTACAGTCTCCTGCTGGGCCTACTGCGTCCACCTGAGCGGTGTGCAAGTCCAGACCTGGACCCGCTCAGCTCAGAGCAGGGCCGTGTGCAGGTCCCAGCCTGGCCCCCACTTCCTTCCTGTGTTCAGTCCGGCCTCCCATGAGACAAATGGCTCAGAATAAGGATAAAACTATACAGAAGCACCCTTTGTACAGACCCCTAAATGCGGTCGTTTATCAGACTCTCGAGGGAAACTCGCAGTAATCACAGCATACAGCGTCCTGCGGGCTCTCAGCTGGAGACCCACCCCCGCTCCCCGCCGCCTCTGAGTGTGGCTCACACCCCCCGCCACGCCCCCCGCCCCCAGCAGCGCAGATGTCAGGCAGCTCCTGTCCCAGGCCTGCCACGGTGCTCGAGTCGGGTGCGGGGGACAGAGCTGACGGCCCCCCCGCTGCCCCCCGCTGCCCCAGTGGCCTTTACCTTTGGGTTTGAAGCACTTAGTTTAGAAACAGCACTTGTTAAGCTGTGCCTGACTGACTGAGGTTTGAGCCGTCGTGATGCTGGCGGGCGGCAGGGGGGATCACCCTTGGAGCCGTCGTGATGCTGGCGGGCGGCGGGGGTCACACGCCTTCTCTTAGCTCCTCAGAGCCTTCACGGACTTCCTCGCCTTCATGGTCCTCTTCAACTACATCATCCCCGTGTCCATGTACGTCACCGTGGAGATGCAGAAGTTCCTCGGCTCCTACTTCATCACCTGGGACGAAGAAATGTTTGACGAGGAAACGGGTGAAGGGCCTCTGGTTAACACCTCGGATTTAAACGAAGAGCTAGGACAGGTCAGGTCTCCTGAGTTGTCTTCTCTCACTGGCTGGCCGTTGAGCCCCTCTCTTTTATGTCCCCAGGTTTCTAGAAGCTACGTGATTCTTATCACGCAGGCAGGTCATCAGGATGGTCAGATGGGAACGTTTCCATTTCAGCTCGTGCACAGAGGGCGGCAAAGTGGCTTTTTAACTTTGTGTGACAGTGCAGGGTGCTCTGGGTTTACGAGTTGTGCAGACTCATCACATTAACTCACTGCCATAAGCTCATCGTGGCCTTTCTAAGTGGTGCTGATTCTGGGTTTCAAGGGAGAGTTAGCAGCGAGCCTGCTCACAGGGGCTGCCCTTGGCTGTCCCGTCCCATCTTCTCGGTCCTCACGGCCCCGGTCATCATCGTCAGGGTGGGCAGAGTGAGACCTGAGTTTCAGTCTCACGGTGTAGAGTTCAGAACCCCTCCACTGCACCTCTGCTCCAGGCTGACGGCTCGCGGCCTGGGCTCTGCACTGGCAGCTCTTGACCTGTAAAGTGGGCGTAGTAACAGGTACCCGCCCTGCAGCGTGTCCCGCGGACAGGACGTGCGGGTGGGAGCCCGCGAGCGGGAGCCCAGCGGGATGGGTGGAGCGGGGACTCGCCGGGACCCTCCACCCCCTCCCGGGCCCGCGGGTCTCTGATAGCCGGCGGCGGGGGCTCAGGGGGGACCCGTGTTCCCCACAGCTCACAAGGTGCCCACAGGGTCCGGGATCCCCACCTTCTTTCAATTCATCGAGATCCAGGGTTTAAAACTCCGTGTAGTTTTCACACTTGCCACAGTTTTCTATCAGAGATTTTTGTCCCTTGACTTGTTTGAATTCTGTCATCTTCCAACCCTTAAGCGATGCTGCAGGCTTGGACCTCCCAGGCCTTATGGGATAAGCTCATCCCACCCATACCCTTGATTTTTTGGTCAGATCGGATCCAGGACCAAGCCCCCAACCCCTGCCGCGTCTCTGTCTTTCTATGAGATGGAAGGAGAAAAGTGTAGCAAGTCCCCCCGCGGCCCCCGGAGCCAGGCTGTGTCCAGACGCTCGCACGCACGGCGCTTCGGGCAGGGACGGCCAGTGTGCTCGCCGTCCGGCCAGGGAGGCCGCGCGGTTGGATGAAAGCCTTGGAAATCGCTTCGTTGGGACGAGGCTGCCTTGGGGGGTCCGAGGGCCCTCGAGGGGCAGCAGCTCCCAGCCGAGTCATGTCCGCAGGTGGAGTACGTGTTCACGGACAAGACGGGCACCCTCACCGAGAACAACATGGAGTTCAAGGAGTGCTGTGTGGAGGGCCACGTGTACGTGCCGCACGCCGTCTGCAACGGACAGGTGCTCCCCGCCGCCGCTGCCATCGACATGATCGACGCCTCCCCGGGCGCCAGCGGGCGGGTAGGTGGCCGTGCTCCTGGCCGTGCGTCCTGCTGCCACCTGGCCACGGGCGGGTCATGTGAGGGACCAGGGGCACCTCTTGTCCTGGGGTCCAGGACAGATGCTGCCCTCCGGCGACTCGGGGGGGCAAGAGCTGTGAGTGTCCCCATCTGCACAGGCGTCCCCAGGTGCATCTGGCGGTCACATCAGGGTTGGGGCAGCTATCTTCACGTGGCCAGGTGGGGAAACCGTGGACTGAGACTAGTCAGGCCCTGCGTGCTCACACACGGACACACAGACACACACTCGCACACAGACACGGGCGCACACACAGACACGGGCACACGTGCTCACAGACATGGGCACACACACACAGACACGGGCGCACACACAGACACGGGCACGTGCTCACAGGCACGGGCACACACACACACAGACACGGGCACACACGTGCTCACAGACACACACACATGCGTGCTCAGACACAGGCATACACGTGCTCACAGACACACAGACACGGGCACACACGTGCTCACAGACACACACATCTGCACACAGACACATGGACACACACCTGCACACACACAAGGCACACACACACAGACATGGACACACACCACACACACAAGGCACACACGTGCTCAGACGCAGACACACACCTGCACACAGCCACAAGGCACACACGTGCTCACACATACATACACGCTCACACATGGACACGGACACACACACACACACACACACACACTGGCTCTGTGGCTCCAGGAGGGCCGTGACCCTCGGCGGCAGTCGCCCAGGAGGCCGTTCCGGAAGCTTTGGTGGCTGCAGAGCCTGCGTGGAGCCCCAGGGGACTGAGGGGGCCTGAGTCAGCCCTGCTTCAGCGGCCTCTTGGGAGCCGGTGCGCGCGTGCCTCTGGTGGTGCAGAAACGGCCTCTTCACCCCCGAGCCTCGGGGGAGGGCCCGGTGGTCTGTGGCCTTGCGGGGCGTCGCACCTGCCTCAGCTGCCCACCTGGCCTGCGCGAGGCCAGCCCAGCCCTTCTTGGCCCCCTCAGTCTCGGTCACACCCCAGGGCGCGGGACGGCTTCTGGGAACCCGGGGATCGCAGGCCCGTCTCTTCTTGTGGCCTTGAACCCACGGCCTCCCGGAGGTCCGTGTCCGTTTTCGTCTGGACCGCGAGAGCAGAGGAAAGGCAGCCGGACTCCGCTGCCACCGCCAGAGGTGGCACTAAGACTCCCTGACCCCCAGGGCTGCAGGCCCGGCGTCGTTGCTTACCGTCTTCTGTTTGGTCTCCTTGTTTTGAGTGGGTGCGCCATAGAGTTGTGGGTTTGTGCTGCATTTGTAGGAGAGGGAAGAGCTGTTTTTCCGGGCCGTCTGTCTGTGCCACACCATCCAGGTGAAGGACGACGATGAGGTGGACGGGCCCAGGAAGTCGCCGGATTCAGGGAAGCGCTGCGCGTACATCTCGTCCTCGCCTGACGAGGTGGCTCTGGTCGAAGGCATCCAGAGGTGCGTCTCTGGTCCCTGATGCGAGGGGGGTGCGGGACCTCTCCTCCCTGACATTCAGTCATAGAGATCACCCTCCAAGCAGCCTCTCCTTCAGCCTGCCAGCTCCTGCCGGGTCAGCGGGACCCTGTCCCCATAGTGTCTTCCTAATACGATTAGGGCTGTTGCCGTGTTCGTGTATGTCTCCACCTCCACGTCCTGGAAGCTCCTCGAGTCCAGAAGCCAGGCCCGTTTGCTCTTTCCCACCCAGCCTGGGCCCACATGGGCAGAGCCCTCACACGTGCTGGTGCAGGAGGGGGCGTTACAGACGAAGTGGCCCGTGGCCCGTTGGTTGAACGGGGCTCTAGTTTCCTCATCAGTAAAGTGGAGCGTCTGTCTGGAGATGGATGGGCTCCCAGAGTCCTTCCAATTCTGACATGGAAACCAACCTGTAAGCAGCCCCACTGATCAGTAGAGACAGGGACCAATCCTCAGACCTGCTGCCGTCCATACCCTCCAGTAAGAAGGCAGCTAATTGCGTGTGGTGCGCCAGACGGTCGGGTAAGTCGACATTCCCTGGGCTCTTGGAGAACGTTCTGAGACAGTGCTATAATTTCCCGACTTTACAATGCAGTTTACAGCCTCTTTTTCTGGAAGCATTTCTTTTCCAAAAGGAGAGCTTTCCCAAAGTGTAAAATGGAAACATGCTATGAAAGAGGGCCATCCGGGTCCACATTAACTCCCAGGTGTGTCTTCTCCTCTGCAGGTTGGGCTTCACGTACCTGAGGCTGAAGGAGAATTACATGGAGCTCCGGAACAGGGACAATGACATCGAGAGGTGAGGACCTGCCTGGTTGGGACGGCAGTACAGGGTCGTCTTTACAGAGCTCCTTCACTGGAGAAAATACCAAGTTCTCCGCACTCCTTCCATAACTCGTTCTCCCTCTTCTCAGTAACACCAAGAATGTCACCAAAACGCCTGGAGAAGTTGAGTCGGACGGTTAGAGGAGAAGTTGGGTGGTGGTGTGCCCTCAGACAGGCTGGGGTTAAGCCACACATTGTCAGTTTTACTGCAGGAGTTGACAAAGCTTCTAGTACGTTCTGACACCCCCAAGGCCGAGCTCTGACTCCCCACGAGAGGGCCAACGTAAGCCCTTCCCCCGGGAGTGGCCCTGGAATCCTGTGTTCTCAGAGCAGGTCCCCAGGCCGTGGAGCTCGGGGTCCTATAGAAACACTGAGCGGTAGCCTTGGAGGGACCAGATGGACGGGGGATGTTTCACTTTCCATATCGACTCTTAGGGACCATCTAGTCTAAAACTGCTGCTCCCAGAGACAAATGGCATGTTTTGATTTTGATTCAGAGGATGGGGCCATCCACCTCTCCTTGCTAAATAAACATCAATGGGCAGTTATGGTTACACGTGGCTCACGTGGTAAAGAGTGTAAGATTTGGTGGTGATGGTCTCAAAAGAGCTGGATTTTACATTTTTGCTCTTAAGAAAAATAAACTCCCAGGCTGCGGAGGTGGTGAGCCCCTCCACTCCAGAACGGCTGCCGGGCCCTAGGCCCGCCAGGTCAGCTGGGGCTCCTCCCGCAAGCGCTCGGGGCCTCTGGGCGCCATGGGGTCACCCCTGGGAGGGCAGTGACATTGCTGTCCGGCTTCTGGTTTCCAGCTGGAAAGGCAAGTGAGCGCCCCTGAGACCGTAACCGCCGCTCGGTGCTCCAGGCCCCCCGGGAGCCAGCTTGTGGGCCAGCAGGGCCGGCGCAGCCTCACAGCCCCCTAGGCTGACACCCCCCTTGCTCTTCTAGGGGTCGTGAAGCACGCAGGGGCGGGCCGGTAGTCACCCCATGTAGTGAGACGTGGAGCCGGATTACAGTAAAAGCTATGCTTCAACCTCTTTTTCAGGTTCGAACTGCTGGAGATTTTGAGCTTTGACTCAGTAAGAAGGAGAATGAGTGTAATTGTCAAATCTGCTACAGGTAGAGATTCCTTTCCCTTTGGTTTCTTAAATGATACAGTGTGACTGTGTTTCACTCTGACGCCTAGATTCTGTGGGAGCTTTAAGGATGTAACTGTTTATTCTCTTTGTTTAAAGCATGGATAAACCACCACTCACCCCTCAGCCTCAGGCCCGTTTGTCCCCGAGCATCTTCGGCTGAGGTTGTCACCTTTGGTTTTTCCCCCGAGGGAAAGTCCTGTGACTCGTCCCCGGGGCTCTGAACCCCCCTCAGTTTACACACACTGCGCAGCCTGTCTCCTGGGTCCCCACCTGCAGGCCCCGCCCACCTGCAGGCCCCGCCCAGGCGTCTGCGACCCCGTCCCTCTCGAGCCCTCATGTGCTCGCTGTCTCTGCCGGGCCTCCTGGGCTCGGGTCCTTGATGGAAACAGGCAGCCGCCCCTCCAGCTCTTCTCGTGGAGGCCCTGAGCTGCCTCCCAGCTTTCCTTCCCAGGCTTCCCCCTAGGGTGCACCACCCGGGCTTTTCCACCTGGAGGCCCTCTACCTGGTCTGGACTTTTCCACCTGGAGGCCCTCTGCCTGGCAGGGCTTTTCCACCTGGAGGCCCTGTTACTCATGTGCAGCTCTCCCAGGACATCTCCACGGCCACCTGTAGGAAGCCTTCCTGGTTTCCTCCTGCCCTTGCGGGGCTGCAGATGTCCTGAATGCAGAGCCACACTTACTCAGCAGTGTGCCCAGCACAGCGTTGCCGAGCGTTCGGTGAGTGCTTCTGGGTTCAGTTTGCTAACGTGTTTGCAAGTGGCATCTTACCAAGAGACAAGGCATCTTCCTCTTTCTCGTTTCTTAAAACGAGACCGCACTAGGCTATGTTTTTCTCTTTGGAAACTTGCCTGGAGAGCAGTGAAACAAGGCTGCTGCCCTGAACCTACAGACTCGGCCTCAGGTATGACCTGGAGAGCTCTGCGTCAGCAGCGTCCTCACGCTCAGCTCGAGCGGATTTCCTTTCCACAAAGGGAGTTCCCGTAACAGGGCTGCTTGAGCCTCTTTCGATGGAACCGGAAATGCCTCATTTTGTCTCCCAAGCCGGTTGAGGACATGGGGCTGAAGGCCCATGTTTCAGCCAGGCCCTGTGAACCGCGCTCCGCGAGCTGCAGCGCTTGGGCGTCTCGGAGCTCGCGCTCAGACCGCGTGGCTCCCTCGCCCGCGAAGCAGGCCGTCAGACGTGGGGTCCCCACCGACGAGCCTTGCGCCAGTGAGCGCCATGGGCGCCAAGTCTTTATGTAAATGCTGCCCTGGACACGTGGCAACAGGGGCAGCAGGACACGGGAAGCACACGGCCCGTCGTGTTTGGAGACGAGTCCCCTGGGCGGGTGCCCCCTCTGCTGTGCGCTGGCCAGCGCTGGGGTCCATCCAGGACGAAGGCGTTCAACTGTGCAAGGTCCCACCATCCGTCTTTGTCTCTTGTGACTTTCCCCGATACAAACGTGGGTCATGCTCGAGGCAGTCCGTGGGCCGGCAGTCGTGGCCACAGCCTCGGGAAGCAATGCGTCAGCTGGTCACACACCACCTTCTCCCCCTCTGCACATTCTCCTGACCCGCCCCGCACAGCGCAGGAGCCGAGGTGTGGACCGTGGAGTCTTCACGAACAGCGACACTTCCCGTCAGGAGGAGCGTGGCTCGGCCTGGAGCAGCAGCTGGGTCACGTGAAGGACTTACATCCTCGGCGCTCGCGCCGCTAGAAACCCCTTCCTGGAGGGGAGAGGCCGGGCCATCGGAACGCCGCAAGGCAGCAGTGAATTCTGAGAGACGTTGAATATTTAACTGAAGAAGTTGTTCCCTAAGTGGTAATACCTGCCCGGAGATGACCCTAAAGGCACTGATTTCCAGCCTCGTGGGCGGGACGGAGACCGGAGCCCCTGCAGCCCTGAGCTTCTGAGGATTCTCCCCAAGAAGCCACTGCAGCCGTGGAGCCACCCGGGTCCCACGGCGCTTGGCGTGGGCCGCGGTCACCTCACCTGTGTGTTTGCACTGCTCTGGAGTTCCAACTTCTTATTCGTTTACAAAACTGGAAAAGCAGGTCTGCAGCTGGGACCCAACAGTCTCTGCTCTTGTCCTTTGCAAGTTAAACGTCGCCTTCCACTCCAGATGTTTTCACGTCAGAGGCTCCGCTTGACAGAGTCTTTAGGCTGAACACGGCCCACGTCTACGGCGGGTACAGGGGGATGACAGGTTGAGACAGGAGAAAATTTAAGTTATTCACAGGCCATTACTTGGAGTCACCTGTGATTTTTCTAGAAAAGGAATTACTGTTCAAGAAGGTATCACCACTCAGAATTGTCTGGACCACGAAACTTGTTTTATCCTATATCTGGTGCCGTACGTACAGCATTGCCTAGAAGTCACGGCTGGTGCCGGGCACGGATTCTGCCGTTAGGCTGGCGGGCGTGTGACCAGGACTCTTGGGTCACGGCCTGAGGGTGTGCGGGCTTCTCCTGGGGATTGGACTCACTGCTCAGATTCCCACTGGGGGCGGCGGCCGTGCTGCCGCTTCTTTGCCAGCTCAGCCCCGCGTGTCCCTTCTGCACGCCTGCGACACACACTGCAGACACCGTCCTTCCTGGCCGTAGGTTAACGTTGCCCTGGGTTTAACTCCAGGACTCCCGTGAGCGTGAACCGGGCCATGTTTTAAGTGTTTCGCTCTGTATGTTGCAGAAGATAGTTCTTTCTGGGACCAAGGACAGAGCCACCCACAGTGGGCTCCGATGCTGCCCCTGAGTTCACGGGCCCTTGTCCAGATCCCCGTGTGGACCACCGGTTCTGGGCACCCCAGCCCTCACCCCAGCACTGTGCCCCCTCCTCCCGGCCCCTCCTGGTGCCCTGGGTTTGGCTCCCGGGTTTCCTTCCCGCGGGCCGTCAACATCTTGGGTTTCCAGGGACCCACCCCAGGCCGGGGCTCGGTGTTCGTGATTTCTGTCTGATGACAAGTGCTGAACAGAACCCGGTTCCAGCGGCAGTGCCCCCTCTCCGGCCCTACAGCCGCTGTGACAAGCCCCCCGGTGCTTCCGCAGCAGAGGGCCACGTGGTTTGCAGGCCAGAAGAGTCCTCGAGAAAGAGGAGCCCCGGTGCCAGCGGCCTGTGGGTCAGCGCGGGCGCCCACAGTTCTGTCTGAGCCGAGAGCTTCCCGACCCTTCTGGAAGGGAAAACCTTTCACCTCGAGGGGGGAGGAGCGTGCACCCCCAGCACTGAGACGTGTGAAGTGACCGGGGCAGTAGGTGTGGGGAGAATCGTTCGACAGATGCTTCTCGTCACTCTTGGTCACGCCCAGTGTCCCAGCAGCTTGTTACCCCATTTGGGGTCGGCCACGCCCTCTGCGTCCGTACCCCTCCCTGGTCCCGAGGGCATTCGTCCCTCACTCACATCCTTGCCAGGGAGCAGGCAGAAGTGACAGGACGAAGGACGCCCAGGAGCCAGTTTCGTTCCTGACTTTCCTGAGATTCTGGGCTTGTCGGAATAAAACGAGGCTTTGTGGGGGGATCTGTGGCTTTGACGTTTTCCTGATCTTACAGGTTAACCGGTCAGTCGACATCTCCACGACAGTCTCAGCGCTGGTACCCCTGGTTTTGTTTTTAATAAAAGCGTCATTTGAAAAATAATTTAGTCTTCCCCATAGAGTGATTAAATGAAAATCTTCTTTTCTCGTCTTCTAGGAGAAATTTATCTGTTTTGCAAAGGAGCAGATTCCTCAATATTTCCCCGAGTGGTAGAAGGCAAGGTGGACCAGATCCGATCCAGAGTGGAGCGCAACGCAGTGGTGAGATGCGGGCGGCGGCCTCACGCCTCTTCTCCCTCGTGGGGGGCACGTTCCTGCTGGGTGCCACGTGCGCGCGCCGCAGGAAGCCTGGCCACGTGCCCTTGGGCGGGCACCACCCTCCGCAGCCCTCCGCTGGTGTTTGGGGGTGAGGGCGTCCAGAATGACAAGCACGTTGTGACGGTCTTGAAGAAAATAGATCTTTATCCTGAGGACATCCAGTGATTGGGGGCTAATGCTTTCCCTTGTGACCTGTTTGGTTTTCTTCTTGCGTTTTGTTGTGAAGCGAGTGCTCAGTCTGTTCTAGGCTCATCCGAGTTCTTACATCATCAGAGCTTCGTTCCATCTTGTGGCTGAAAAATATTCCATCGTGTGGACGCGCTGTATGTGCCACACTGTGTTTATCCGTCGTCTGTTGGTGGGCACTTGGGTTGTTTCCACCTTTTGGCCACTGGGAACGATGCTGCTGTGAACATGGGTGTGCTTGTATCTGTCTGAGTTCCTTTGATTGTGTACCTAGGACTGGGATGGCTGGGTCACCTGGTAATTCCAATATGTTTCACTTTTTAAGGAAATGCCAGGCTGTTCCCCAGAGGCTGCACCGCGTCGCATCCGCACCAGCCGTGCGTGAGGGCTTCAGTTCCTCCACCTGTTCGCCGACACTTGTTATTTTCCATTTTTGTTAACTAGTCACCCTGGTTAGGTGTGAAGTGGTAACTCATTATGGTTTTTGTTTGCATTTCCCTAATGACTGAAGGTGTTGAGCACCTTTTTAGGTGCTTATGGACCATTTGTATCTTCTTTGCAGAAATGCTTATTCAGGGTTTTTGTGCATTTTTTAATCAGGTTTTTTTTCTTGTTGAATTGTAGGAGTTCTTTATATATTCAGAATACTAACACCTTATCAGATGTATGAATTGCAAATATTTTCTCCCAGTCTGTAGGTTGTCTATCACTCTCTTGATAGTATCCTTTGATGCACAAAAGTTTTTAATTTTAATCAAGTCCAATTTACTTTTTTGTTGTGGCCTGTGCTTTTAGCGTCGTGTTTAAGAAACTGTTGTCAAACCCAAGATCATAATTTGTCCCTATGTTTTTTTCTGAGAGTTTTATAAGGTAGCACTTATATTCAGGTCTTTGATCCATTTAGAGTTAATTTTGCGTGTGTGGGACAGGTACAGGTCAGGACCGTTGGTTGAACAAGACTGTTCTTTCCCTGTTGGATGGTCTTGGCATCCTTGTCAGAAATCATTGGGCCACATGTGCAGCTGTTCATTTTTGAGCTCTCGGTTCTGTTGCGTTGGTCTATGTCTGTCTTTACGCTAGGACCACCCCGTTTTGGTTACTTGTCCCTTTCCGGTGAGTTTTGAAACCAGGAAACGTGAGTCCGTCCTCCAGCCTCGTTCTTTTACAAGATTGTGGTCTACTCTGTGTCGCTTGAGGTTCCCCATGAATTTCAGGTGGGTTTTCCCATTCCCACAAGAATGCCATTGGAGTTGTGATGGGCGTTCTGAACCTGTAGATCACTTTGGGTGGTGTCGTCATCGTGGGATATTAAGTCTTGCAATCTATGAACACAGGATGCCTGTCCATTTACTTAGATCTTCTGTGATTTCTTTCAGCAACGTATTGTAGTTTTCAGTCTATGAACCTTTCACCTCCATGGTTTAACTCATTCTCGGGTATTTTATTCTTTCTGATGCTACTGTAAATGGTCTTGTTTTCTTAATTTCCCTTTTGGATTGTTCATAGTTAGCGTGTAGAAATGCAGCCGCTTTTTGTGTGTTGACTTTGAATTCTGCACCTTTACTGAATTCGTCTTTTAGTTCCAACCATTTTTTTTTTTTTTTTTTTTTTTTTTGGTGGTGGAATCCTTAGAGTTTTCTACATATAAGATCCTATCATCTAAGAACAGAACTAACTTTATTTCTTCCTTTCCAACTTGATACCTTTTTTTTTCTTGCCTGATTGCTCTGGTTAAGACCTCTGGCGCCATGTTGAATGGAAGTGGCAGAGGCAGCCATCCTTGTCTTCTGCCTGATCTTAGGGAGAAAGTTTTCCACCTCCCCCCGTTGAGTATGATGCTGGCTGTGAGTTTGCATATATGGCTTTTATCAGGTTGAGGAAGTTCCCTTCTATCCTAGTTTACTGAGTGGTTTTATCATGAAAAGCTGTCGGGGTTTGTCGATGCTTTTTTGCATCTGTTGAGATGATGATGTGAGTTTTTCTCCTGTGTTCTATTTATGTCATATATTACATCGATTGGTTTTCATACGTTGGGTCACCCTTGCATCGCTGGGATAAATCCCTCTTGGTCATGTATATAATCCTTCGGACATACTGTCAGATTCAGTTTACTGAAATTTGGTTGAGGATTTTTGCATATATGTTTGTAAGGGATAATGTTCTATAATTTTCTTTCCCTGTGGTGTATTTGTCTGGCTTTGTATATCAGTATTGTTTTATATACAGTGTCCAGGGTTTTAGTAATACTTTGCAGGAAGAATAGAGAAACGTATCTCTACTCCATGTTTCCACAAGGGGAAGCCCCATAGCTGCTTTTAAAGGCAAGGTTCTATTTATTTCTGAAGTTTCTGCTGCCCGTTCACACCAGCTCTATGTTCTGGGACAGCTCTGAATTACTATCCTCGTAAAACCTCTTTCTTATCGTGCAGTTTTTCTGGCGTAGAATGAAGTCATATACATACATCCTGTGCGTTTCACCTCTTAGGAGAAGTCAGAGGATCCATTCTGTAGCTCGAGCTCATGTCTCCGATTTCCTTGATCACCGTGGATACTTCCGATCCAACTTCAACCACTTTTTTTAGCAGAAGTCACTGAGTTATTATTGTGTGTCAAGGAGTCGGGGGTGAAGTGAGACAGTGCCAGCGGCCTGAGAGCTCCCACCCCACAAAGGAGACAGACAGGAGGGCAGCGAAGTGGGCGGGGCGTGGACCCGGGAAGGATGCAGGGGAAGAACATCTCTGCGCTTTCACAGCTCGGGGGTGGAGGGGGACCTGCCTTCTCAGAGAGGCGAGCGGGCTGCTTGCTTGCTCCCCGGGGACGGGACTCGGCGTCTGGATGGTGGGCGGTCACAGGGCTCAGTGCCTTCCCAGAGCGTCGGACACACAGATGCTGCTTTTGTCCCGCTCCTTCCCGGGGGCTCCCTTCCCGCCTTCAGGCTTCCGAGAGCTCCGGGGACAAGAGGAGCTGTTAACCCGACCGTGATCGTGTCCCTCGGCTACATCTGGAGGTCGGAGAAAACATGGCAGATGTGAAGCATTCCCTGAGAGCGATGGGACGTTAGAATTCATATAGTGGAAACCCTTCAAATCTTAGGAACCAGTGTTCTCCCAGAATTTGGACTGATCATGTAGGAGACTGGCTCATTTCAGGGGATCCGTAGAGTTGGGGCTGAAGGAACAAGGGAAGCAGAAGGGGATCGTCCAGGGTCGCCAGTCGGGCCGTTGCGATGGTTGCTTCATCGTGACCAAAGGAAGCGTCTGTTGACGCAGTGAAAGTGCTCTGTGTGGCGCCTTTGAGAGCCCAGCTTCCTGGTGCCCTGCCAGCTGGTGTGCTTGCCCTGCGCGCCCTGACATCCAGAATTAGTCTTAGGTTCTTGTTTTCCTCTCCTGTGGACCCGATAGGTTTGATCAATAACCGTGTGGTTTTCCTTCGGTGAGACCCAAATAAGATCAAAGTGTCACACAAATTCCCCACGTAAAGCGTCACTTTAGAAATATCACTTGATGGGGCTTCCCTGGCGGTCCAGTGGTTAAGACTTTGAGCTTCCACTGCAGGGGGCGTGGGTTCAATCCCTGGTCGGGGAACTAAGTTCCCACATGCCACGTGGTGTGGCCAAAAAAAACACAAAAAAAGAAATATCACTTGATATTTACTATAAATTGCTAATTGCTATCCTAAAGAAGGTTAACTCTTCATTTGTCAAAATAAAAGAACAAAGTCTTATCTTTCGACGGCCCCGGTTTATATTTTGTATTCCCACGCTTACTAGTTTGAAAACTTTATCATCGACCATGATTGTGTATATTTAAGGTGGATACGCTTCACTTGCAGATGACCAGCCCCTTGAGGGTGGGTTGGTTTCTCGTTCTCTGGTTAGTCACTCGAGCCGGAGGGGGGTGTCGGGAAGGCTTTGGGAAGTGATATTCAGCAAGTGACCCTCGAGTTCACGTTAAGTGCCGCTTTGTGTCCTGCAGGAGGGGCTTCGGACCTTGTGCGTTGCCTACAAAAGGCTCATGCAGGAAGAATACGAAGGCATCTATAAGCTGCTGCAGGCCGCCAGAGTGGCGCTCCACGATCGGGAAAGGAAGTTAGCAGAAGCCTATGAGCAGATAGAGAAAGACCTTATCCTGCTCGGTGCTACGGCCGTGGAGGATCGGTAAAGGCTCGCCGCGCTTGTCTTAGAAATAATAGTGTTGCAGCGGGATCGCAGGGGCTACAGGGGCGCTTCGGGGGGAGCCCCACAGCCGGTGTCGGCCGCACCCGGTGAACGCGTTCACGCGTCAGGACCGGGCAGGCCACTTGGTTGCCTGGGGTAATAGCGCGGGGGGTCAGGCTGCGCTATTGTGATGTTTGACTTTCCACGAATAAAAGGCCCCCAGAAGAAACCAGAAATGGTCAGCATTTTCACACCATATTCTGAATAGTCAAGCTACAAGGCTATGCTGTTCAATTATTCTTTAGAATGGAATCAATAACTAATCTGGTCCTCAGTTTGTCACTAGTTCTTTCCAAATACAAGTGTAAACATGTTGGATCTTAACATTCTCAGTGTTCTTGTCATCACTCATTGAAGGAATTTAAAATAATGAAGTAGAACATTGCAAAAACTGACAATAATAGCTGGTAGAATTCCTGGGTCCTTGGAGGAGCTGGGGAGGAGGGACGGCTCTTAAGGGTGGAGGGATCTTCGCCTGCGCATCCGAGGACCCTCACGGGGGTCCTGGGAGCTGATGCACCTGCGGGAGCTGGCACCTCAGGACATTGAGCATAGATCCCCGGGGACGGGGCGGAGGGGAGGGGTTGAAGTGGTGATATTTGATCACAGATTATTTCTTTGAAATCTCTGGCCAACATCTTTACAGACCACTCTGGGCCTCGGTTTCCTTTTTGCAAAAAAGGATGAAATGAGAGATGGTTTTTTCTGCCTCTAGAATAGTACGATTATATCATCTCCAGACTTGACCTAGGAAGTTTATCCCAGAATCTAACCAGATGGTTCCAGTCAGAATCCGGATCCTTACCTTGCCTTTCACTCAGCACTGGACAGAAACACATCACTGACACACATCTATCAAAAACTAAGACTCTAAAATCTAGAAAACACAGCAGGCCCCCAAGTGAGGCAGACGTGGTTTTGCTGCCAGACTTCCACGGATGGCAAGACAGCCTGACCAAGGTCAAGAGTGCCGTTTACCCTCAGACATGTGTTGTGGCCTCTGCAAGCTGTGGGTTTTCTACACGTAGACCAGGATCCTAACACCGTCCTCATCCTGTAAGGTTCTGGCAAAGACAAAACGTCGCAGGCAAGTGCTTCCCGCAGCATCTGACGCGGGGCGAGCCTGCGACGCCATCAGCCCGTCCCAGAGCCGCGCCTGGCATTTCACGTTCTTTAGGGGAACCTGGGCTCCGGTTTGATACGTGGCAAAATTAGAACAGTTTATGCACAATGAAAAGGTGGGGAGCGTCACCTCTTTTCCAGGTCCTGTTTTTCCCTGGTTAAGACTTTTTTGGTTGGTGGTTGTGACGGGCCGTCTTATAATAGCGTAAAGTCCTCTCTGAGTAGCAAGTCCCACCAGGCAGAAAGCTGTGTGCTCGGCCACTGTTACTCGTACAAGATGCTGTCTTGTTTCTTAGTATTTTATCCCTGTGGATTTTCTCGTATTAGGAAGTGTTCTGTTGTAAAAAGTTAATACACAGCTGTCGCCAGCCTCGGGTCCTTTGCGGGAAATCACGAGCCAGCACCGCGGTGCTTTTTAATTTGGGGGCAAAAAACGGAATCAGTTCCGTAGATCACAAGTTCTCGGAATTCTGCACTTGGTTTGCTGTGTTCACACTGACGTGTGTGTTGTGTCCCCCGCCCCCCGCCCCCCAGGCTGCAGGAGAAGGCGGCCGACACCATCGAGGCCCTGCAGAAGGCGGGCATCAAGGTGTGGGTGCTCACGGGTGACAAGATGGAGACGGCAGCCGCCGCCTGCTACGCCTGCAGGCTCTTCCGCAGGAACACGCAGCTGCTCGAGGTGACCACCAAGAGGCTGGAGGAGCAGAGCCTGCACGACGTGCTCTGCGAGCTGAGCAAGACCGTCCTGCACTGCAGCGCCAGCCTGACCCGGGACAGCTTCTCAGGGTAGGCGGGACGTTTGCAGACGGACTGGGCAAGCTCCGTGGGCAGGGCCGTGGCCTCAGCTCCCTTTGTGCGGACGTGGTCCTGTCCTCTGGCCTCTAACAGCATCCCGTGGTCGGGACCATGACCAGAGCTATTTCTCTTTAGCAACTGTGACATATATGCCTTTTTGCATCAGAGCGGGGTGTGTGTGTGTGTGTGTGTGTGTGTGTGTGTGTGTGTGCGCGCGCGCTTACTTGCAGACTGCTGGCTGAGGGTGCAAAGAGACTTCATTCATGGATTTACAAAATACCGTGCATGGGAAGATTCCCATCTGCTTCTACGACACTTGCGGGCTGCATCGTGGATTCCTCAGGGCTCCTGCCAGAGCAGGAGGGAGACGTGAATAATGCGTGGTCGTTTGTCGATTAAGACAGAACAGCGTATGCCCGACAGTTGTTTTTTCCCAGAATATTCGCCAGTTTATTCACATTTTATCAACGCTCTCCTTGCTGGTATTAGACGCATGATCTAAGATTAGATTTCATTTGAACCTTTCAAGTTTTCATTAATTTAGATAAAGCAAAGGCAGCTCTCTAATCATATGTGGATCTAAAATTATTCATTTATAAATAGTACAGCGATATTTCCCTTTGCCCTGTCTGCAGAATTCCTTTGGGGGATTAGAGATGTTCCTTGTAACTTTGAAACCCAGCAAAGAGAAATTACGACCATGTTCTTTCCAAGTCAGGTCACCCGGACAGAGTAGCACGGAGGTATTAGTTGTAACAATAAAGACTGTGGTTGGCTAAGGTGGCCAGGCAGTTCGGGAATGAAGGCCGATCTCTTCGATAGCGGGATAAACGCTCTCTTTCTGTTGTCAAGAAGTACCGGAACACGCCCAGGAGTCCACAGTTGCGACCATTGTTTGCTTTGCCTCAGTGAAATGAGAAAGTTTAATTCACACACAATTTTAAAATGTAATCAAAGGCCTTACAGCCACTAATTTAGAGACTGTATTATTATTGACAAAACAAGAAAACCCAGTTTCTTAATCCTTGATCCTGAATGTGTAGCATCTATAGATATCCCAAAAAAGTACCTAGTCTTCTCAAATCTCTGGATTTAGTTACTGAGTAATTTCTCTGGTTTGTATGATCTAACAGACTCTCGGCCGATATGCAGGACTACGGTTTAATTATTGATGGTGCCGCGCTGTCCTTGATAATGAAGCCGTGTGAGGACGGGAGCGCCAGCCACTACCGAGAGCTCTTCCTGGACATCTGCCGGAACTGCAGCGCCGTGCTTTGCTGCCGGATGGCGCCCCTGCAGAAGGCCCAGGTCCGCCGCCCACCAGGAACCAGCTAGGGATCCCCGGGGGAAGGGGTTACGTAGTGAGAGCCATTCATGAGCCCTTACAGCCTCTGGGTTTTTTTTTTCAATCTAGCAAAGCACCTCCTTTTAAAAATGGAAGCAAAAATGATAGAAATTGAAACGTGAGACTTAACTTTGCTCGCTGTGGTTAGTAAGCGTTGATGGAATCAGATGGATGGTCCTTCCGGGTGCAGAGACCAGGGAGATGCTCGTCCCATCTCTCACGTAAACAGAACTGTATCAAGGAGGTAGAGCCGTCTGTGAGAGTCTGTACGGAAGCCCGGGGGGAGGCAGCTGCAGTCGAGCACCTACTGTGTGTCGATTGCTGAGGCAGATGCGAACCCACCGACCCGCACGGTAACCCTTGAGGTGAGGGAGGCTGTGCTAATTTTAGGAATGAAGTACCTAAGACACAGAAGATCGGGAGAACCTGCCTGGCGGGATGATCTGGAAAGTGGCGGTCCGAATCGGCTTCCACTCTGTCGGACTCTGAACTCACGTTCTGCCCATTGCACCACACTCTTGTGGAAACACCACCTGACGTGTGTTTTTTTCTTAATTTTTTTTTTTTTTGGCGGCGTTGGGTCTTCGTTGCTGCACGTGGGCTTTCTCTAGTTGCGGTGAGCAGGGGCTACTCTTCGTTGCAGTGCGCGGGCTTCTCATTGCAGTGGCTTCTCGTTGCGGAGCACAAGCTCTAGGCGTGCGGACTTCAGTAGTTATGGCTCTAGAGCACAGGCTCAGTAGTTGTGGCACATGGGCTCAGTAGTTGTGGCACACGGGCTTAGTTGCTCTGCGGCGCGTGGGATCTTCCGGACCAGGGCTCGAACCCGTGTCCCCTGCATTGGCAGGCGGATTCTTAACCACTGCGCCACCAGGGAAGCCCCCTGTTGTGTGTTTTAAAATATTTTTTAAAGCATATGGGATACGCACGTGAGCATGTGTGCCTTTCTGGTGTTGGTAAACCTAAAACGGTCCCAATTCTGTAAACCACATTTTAGATAAGGGAGATCAGTTTCTCTTGAGTTGCTCATGAAGGAAACTGTCAGCTTCTCAGACTGACCTAGTGCTTAAGGTAAAATACTGAACACCACGTGCAAAGGGGTCATTTTTCGCGTCCTTGCATGCGTGCTACACTGACGTGCCACGTGACAGTGTCACGAAGCATAAAACACATAAAGCATCGCCCTGGGGTGATTCTCAGTGAAGAGAAGCAGACTCAGGCATTCATGTACATTCAATTTGGGATAAAAATGGTTTCATTCCCAACTGTCCCTCTTATGTGTGACTCTGCGTAAACCTTGTACAGTGACGTCCAGAACAGAGCTAAGGATGTCGTTTGGTCTTCACGTGATACTTGGTATTTCTTTTAGGTTCTTAAGTGACTTTTGCAAACTTTGATACCAATTAGTGTCTCAGTCTTGAAACAAGAAGGCAATCCACACATTTTTTCCTCATCTTTTCCATCATGGAACCTTATACTTGGCACATAAATAGGAAAAAAGACTGTCAAGAAACAGACTAAAAATTTGGAAATTATTCATTGCATTGAGTTGTCAGATTTGGTTTTGCACACGTGACAAATTTGAAAAGTAAATGAGCAGCTTATTTTAAAAAATAGATGCTTGAAACCAGATAGCTTGGAAGAGCAGCATCTTCTAATGGAATGCAGCATTCACACTCCCCCCACCCCGTATATTTAAGTCTGTTTCCCCCACGTTTACATAAGGAGTTGAGCAGCCCCTGCAAATGACTTCCTGGATTTCACTCTCCGTCCTGTCTGCCCACCAGCCTGCTCAGCTCATCTTACTACAGTCATTTCTCAGCTGCTTTTGCTGAAGTGGGTTTCGCTTTGGACGTCAAAAAGATTTTATCCTAAGTGGATAAAATAGACTGCATATAATAAATAATTCACTTTGAGTACATAGTTGTTTCATTTTTCCTTGACTAACTTGACATCGTTGTCGTTTCTGCCTAGTTAGTGAATGACCTCTGCAAAAATAAAACAGACGATAAAATCTGCACTTGCTTCTTTTCCAGATTGTTAAACTAATCAAATTTTCAAAAGAGCACCCTATCACTTTAGCGATTGGTGACGGCGCAAATGACGTCAGCATGATCCTAGAGGCCCACGTGGGCATAGGTAAGCCCCTCGGTTCTGCCTCCCTGCGCCTCTTGGTAACCCGGGTTTATCACGCAGCTGGACGAGAAAGGACACAGCCAAGGCAGGGCCATAGAATGTAGACACACGTTCAGGACACTGTCTGTGACACAGAGCGTTCGTGACTAGAAATCCGACAGTCACGGTTCAGCCCACCCCGTTTTGCCTGTGTCCGTGTCCACCTGCGTAGTGTTGAGAAAGGCTTTCCTCAGCGCGTTTGCTCCCTTCTCGTAGGCATCATTGGGAAAGAAGGTCGCCAGGCTGCAAGGAACAGCGACTATGCAATACCGAAATTTAAGCATTTGAAGAAGATGCTACTTGTTCATGGGCACTTTTACTATATTCGAATATCTGAGCTTGTGCAGTACTTCTTTTATAAGGTAGGAAGGCTTTCCTTTCCCCTCTCACCGTCTCAAAGCGTGTGAGCGATGGCTCGTCTGTCATGATGCCCCGAGGCTACAGGGGTGATTTGTCCATGGATAGAAGTGACTGTCAGAAAGGAGGGGGTAATCGTAGGACCACGGGAGCAAACGCCCAGCTCTCTTCGCAGTCTCAAAACTGAATGTGGAACCAGTGAGATACGGGCTGTAAAACGCTTGAGGAAGGGGCATTCTTTTATAGTTCCTTGAAGTAGTTTCTTCTTCTTTAATGCGGTTGCATTCTTTCCTGTCTGTCCTGACACCGACGTTGCCGCCTCATTTCTCTGCCACAAGTTTCCCTTGAGTCTGTCTGATCTCAGGGTGACCAGAATGGTCCCGTGTGTACTGTGGGAGCCCCTGAGATGAGCAAGGAGTTTTAGAGCCATTGCCCGTCTTGCTGGAGAATGTGGGGCACTTTGCCCAGGTAGAGTGTGTCACGTGGCCAAGCTCTGTGACGGGATAGAAAAGTGACGTGTCTTACAATGTGCCCTTGATTAACATGCGTGTGACTTCTCTTTCAGAATGTCTGCTTCATTTTCCCTCAGTTTTTATACCAGTTCTTCTGTGGGTTTTCACAACAGGTGAGTCCTGATGCCTGAGGTCGAGCTCACCTGAGCCTTATCCCTCTTCCCCACATGTGTCTGTGGTGGGTGGAGGGTGGACGGCAGGGCATGCGGGCCAGATGACCCCCCCGTTCCGTCGCTGATCTTCTTTCATCTAAAGCAACCAGGACCGGGGAAAACCTAAGCTTGGAGGCGGCGATCAGAATTGCAAACTTTCGTGCAACTTTCTCTTGTTGCAGGTTTGGAATGGCAGGACCGGGTGGGTCCGCTGTGATTTTAATCCAGACTAGTCGACATCCTGACACTTTGAAAAATGTCCTTGTCCTTCTGTATCTGTAGAAAAATGGCTCTGTGTGCATTTTAGAATGCTCGTGCCTGTGGCCCTTTGTAAATGAAAACTACACATGCATATTGAAACGAATCATCCGAAAGTCTTGTCGAGATGCCCGGGTGCTGTTTTCACGTGGCTTTTCGGTCCCGCAGACCCTGTACGACACTGCCTACCTGACTCTCTACAACATCAGCTTCACCTCCCTCCCCATCCTGCTGCACAGCCTGACGGAGCAGCACGTCGCCATGGACACGCTCAAGAGGGACCCTGCCCTCTACAGGTACCTCAAGCAGGCAGCCGCTGTAGGCAAGGAGAAGGACCGGGCAGCCCTGCCGCGAATCCGGATAATACTTGGTTGAAGTACTTAAAAGCCAGACGATTCAGTGTCAGCTGACACGCTCGCTTCCACAGGAGATTCTTCAAGCAGGAAGCCATGTGATTTAAGTGAATATACTCCAAATTCAGACAGAGGATTTATGTTGCGTTTGAAATGTACACGTTAAGCCAGTTTGCATTTTACCGTGGTTTTCGATGGTTATGAAAGAACTTGGGGTGAGAGTTTCTATCCCCTTGTGACCCCAGCGGATTTATGGCCTAAATGATCCTCGCAGGTCCAAATAGGTTCCATTCAGTGAGAAAAGAGAAAAGTTAACATATCTGATCTCAGGGTGCTCTTTTCTGCTAAAAAGTATTTTTAATAACAAGGAAACAATTTTTCTGCTATTTCAGAACTGCACCCCAGGATCTTTGGCCGATTCAGTGTGTCACTGTTTATTGTGGCTTTGTAAATTAAACGTGTTATTTTCAGAACATTTTAGATGCACATGTGGTTGTAAGAAATAGGAGAGAGATTCTGTGAGGTTTTATCCAGTTTACCCAATGGTAGCATCTGACAGACCGTCCTGCAGAAGCGCAGGACAAGGTCACAAGCAGGGCACCGACGCGACACGCCCAGCCGTCTTACTGGTCCTTGCTCGTGTGCACACGTGTGCTCATGTGTGTGCACTAAATTCTGTGCAGGCTTTTCACGTGTGTGAGTCCTGTGCCCACACAGTCAAGACACCTCACCAGTCCCACGGCCACATCAGAATCACTAGCCGTTAAATGGGGTCTTGAAGTGCTGGGGTCCAAAATAATCCCTGTAGGTGATAAAAAAAAAGCAAGCTCTGAGTTTGTCACGTGCATTTAATGGTACAGGAGTAAGTCTAAGAAAATAGGGAACCCACACCATTTTAGACACACACCGGAGGGAGCCCTGCAGCTTCTCTGTCTTATTGAACTAAACTGACAGGTGTAGGAAGCCCTGTCGTGAAATGCGCAGCCTGGTCCGGGAAGCCCGCGGTCTTGGCATTTGGATGCCAGCGTGTCCCTGTGTCCTGTGTCCTTCCTTTCGGAAGCAGAGGTGTGAGCGCTGGCATCTTTCTTCCTCTAGTGATATCACAGTCCATTTTTGAGAAATAAAATATTCAAACAGAGATTGTTCAGGAATATCCGTATGTAGTAAAATGCAGTCTGGAGAGCATTTTGCTTTTGCTCCCAGGAAGCTCACTTCATGTCTGTGGGTCCTTCCCACTGTATCAGCTGGGGACGTCGCCCCTCACACCTCAGCATGTTTGCTCCCTTCTCACTGTGCTTCGACCGTGATGGTTTCGGTTACTACAGCTTTGTGCTACAAGCTGTCCCAGGGCCTTTCTGGGACCGGGTGTGGTGTTGAGTGAAGTGACAGGGGGTGTGGCCGGAGGAGCCGCAGAGCATCCAGTGTGGCTCGGGGGCGTGGCCAGTCATGAGCCCCCCCCCCCCCCCCCCCCCCCCCCCCAGGCTCCGTGCATTCAGAGCGTGTGCCGGCCAGTCGACGGGTGGAGATGGGGGTCTGGCCGCGACGTGGACAGGCTGTATGGGGTGACCCCAGGCGGGAGACCAGGAGCCCCGTGCTCGCGGCCGGGCTTCTCCAGGACCCGCTTTTCGGGGCTTGGCTGAGTGGGTGTCGGTAGGGGCCCCGCCCCCTCCGAGGGCCCTCCTTCTCCTGTCCCTGCTTGTCCCTGCAGCTCTGCCACCTCGGGGCTCTCCGCGAGTCAGGGGCCCCCGGACGAGGACGGCGGCCGCGGGGCCGGTGGACACGGTGGGGGCTGAGTGGGCGCGTGCGCCTGGACGCGCTCACAGGTTCCCACCCTTTGCCTCCCCCAGAGACATCGCCAAGAACGCTCTCCTCCGCTGGCGCGTGTTCATTTACTGGACGTTCTTAGGCGTGTTCGATGCTCTGGTGTTTTTCTTCGGTGCTTACTTCATGTTTGAAAACACAACCGTGACCAGCAACGGACAGGTTAGTACGGAACTGGGTCGTGTCAGCGTGGCTCCGGGGTTCTTTGGGGATAGAGCTTGAATCCAGCACGATCCCGGGTCAGCGCAGTCTCAGCACAGCCCGCGGGGACCGTGTCTGGGTGTCAGCCCCCCAGCTGGATGGAAGGGACGTGATGGCAGCGTTCTGCCGACTGTAGGGACACCCTTCCTGAGGGGTTCCAGGCTTTAGTTCTGTAGCTTACTCACCGTTAGCTGTATACCTAGTGGTTCGATTTGATCGTTGAGACGTGGCTTATTAAATATGGGAAATAATTCAGTATTTAACCCATTTTAGTGTTTGTTCACATCCTTAAGTATCTGTTTACTTCGCAACAAGTAGATTTACACTTGCCTGGTAGGCGTTCAGCGCTCTGGTTTTCTGCATAATTTCTAGGGGTTGTTTTATTCGTATCTTGCTTTTTTCTTTCTGCCATGGCTTCCTTCCCACTCTCAGATAGTGACCACCAACACACACATGGTAAGAAATCTGTGGGTGCGTCCTTTGTGTTTTTGGAGTGCGTTATAAATAAAATATTTCTTGAAAATATTTTCCAACGTGACTCCCTTTGTGTGCTTGTCGGTAGAAATGCTGTTAGTTGCTCCCCACGTCTGTAGGACTGGGGTCGTCCCAGAAACCTGTGCGTCCACTTGGGTCCCTGTTGCTGAGGTTACTCCCTGTATTTCCATGTTGGGGACCACCAGCGGGGTCAGTGGTGTTTCTAAGTGGACTTGATCTGTTTGGACCTCCCTTGACCTAAGTAAGTAGGAAGACACACGAGCATGTGAGGCTGGAGGGGATGCTGCTTTGACCGTGGCCGACCTCCAGCCCCGCCTGGAGAATACGAGAGGCCCGGGGCCCGGCGCCCTGCTTCTGACCTGATGCCCCAGGGTCCACGTAAAGAAGGGGAGCTTGTGAACAGAGGTTTACTGCACGTCCTGTCTGATGGGACACCTCTCTGCCCGTTTGTCCCTCCGCGTGGCTGGCCTGAAGTTCAGAGTCTTGCTGTGTGTTTGCCCATCGGTTTGTCTGTTTCTTTTTTCTTGTGACTGCAAGGTACTGTCATCTCTCATTATAACTGAAACCAATTTTTCCTAAATTGATCTTGAGGATTTTTCAAAGTCTTTTTGCACTTTTCTAAAATCTTCCCATTTTTCAAGGATTTACACTTTGTCTTAGTTGTGGTAGAATAGCTCCCGGGTGCCACGAGGCCGTCATGTACCGGTGGTTGAGTCGAGCTGTCTTAGCGTTTGCTCTGATGCATCTTTAGTGAGAGTCCCTTGCGGGCCCAGTTTTAAGTGAGCACCTCACGTGTACCTTAAAGAGCTCAGACTTTGTGTCCCGGCATCCGTGGTCCCAGGATCCAGGCAGTGAGTCGCTTCTGCAGGCGTCACCCTCGCTCACCAGTCGCTCCTTCAGTCGGACAGTTTCACGGTGTTAGAGCCGAGCAAATGGAAGTTGACAGATGAGTACTGTACGAGGTCAGGGAATTAGAGCTCAGACCTAGGGTAGTGTTTTAGACCATGCAGCTGCTGCATTGCTTGACGCTCACATCACGTGGTGACATGGTTGGCCCTGCTCTGCAAGCCCACAAGAGGGCGGGTGTGAGCAGGGAGGGGACATGCACCCTGGACACAGGTGCTGGTCGCCCGAGGGGCCCCGGATGCAGGCCTGGGGGGCCTTCCCGGCACGAGGCTGGGCCGCATCTCCTCCTGCCGCTGCTGTGGTCAGAGCTGCAGGCCCAGGTGCCTTGAGGCCCTTCCCGTGAGCCAAGGGCTTCTGCCGTTTCCTGTTTCTCTGCTACTCGCTCCTGAGGGCGCCCTGAGCCACCATGGAACCCGGATCCCAGCGTCTAGAAGGGGTCTTTCCCGTACCATCCCTCCCCCACCTGCCACCTCTGTGCCTTTGCTCAACTGTTATGGGACAAAAGCGTTGGTTAGAATCTGGAACGATGACAGGAAGGGAGAGCGAGGTAGAAAGAACGCCTGTTGGCTGGGGCCCTGTGCTCACGGGCCAGGAGCTCTGAGGCCCCCGTGGGAACAGAGTCAGCACAGGCCACGCACATCCTGTCGCGTGAAAAGCTCCTGAGATGCATGGTGATGTCAGGAAGCAGCGTGCGCGACAGGCGTACCAAGCGAGGTGCTGGACCTGGGCGTTTGTCCACAGCTGTGCCTTGGGTCACTGGCGCCCGGGGGACGATAAACAACCTGCAGACGTAGAGGCGTGAGAGCAAGGCCAGCGCTAAGCGGAGGGACACCTGCGGGGACCCAGGGTAGACCTTTATCACCAGGAGGACAGGAGCCCCAGGGCCACGTGTGGCGAGCGCGCTCCGTCGATGGTCTGACTCTAGACCCCTGCGGTACCTCGGGGCCTCCGCACAGAGCCTTCTCGCTCTGGATCACTGAGTCTTAAATGCTTGTTTGTTTGTCAGGTAAGGGGGTTGCATCCCTTACAAAACCAAAAATGGTATTGTAGGCTGGTTCTGTAGCAATTCAGACAAAGCAGCAAACAGAGCTGTAAGTCCAGGGCGGCCTCAGGGGGCTGCTGACGTCCTTGGTCTTGGGCAGCAGGTGGTTCGGTGAGGATAGCGGTCATCTCTGTCCTCTTCCAAGGAGGACGGACGTGTCTTCTTGGTGGGACATTTTAGCTGCCCTGTTCTAGTGGTGGTCGGGAGGTGACCCCTGAATCGTTCTGTAGGCGTGTTCGTGGATCCGTTGAGAACAACCGAATCACTGATAACTTTCGAAAAAGAGAAATTCACTTGTGGAGCGTTTTCTGCACAGACATCAAGAGCTGTATTATTTCTCAAGTGAGAATATAAGACAATGATTATTTTATTGTTGAACTGCGGGATATTCCTAGGTGCACGCTTGAAAGTTTGGGGCACGTTGTAATAGAAGCCAGTAAACATCTAGAGCGCGGGAACGTGAGCTGTCCTCAGCGGGCTGAGGACAAGAACACCAGCGCTCAGCAGAGGTTCCCAGTCAGCACGTGAAGCGAATGTAGTAGATGTGGCCGCGATCTTGAGAAAACATAAGACATGTTTGTCGTGGGATATTTTTACACACAAAAATTAAACTGCTCTAGGCTTTAGAGCTTCTGTGAGCAGTAAGATTTCCTACAAGATAGTCCTGAGGAAGAGGAGAGAGGGCGGAGTGGGAGAAGGAATTAAACTTGGACCTGGTTGCGGGGGAGGTGGGAGACCTCCTACTGAATCCTCTCCTCTGAGCGAGGCCCAGAAGTTCACGACGTTCTCCGCGGAGACGCGTGTTGCTTTAGGAAATCAGCCCCGGGGGTTCCTGGGGGCTGGGGAACTGATATCACTCGGGAGAAAGGCTGTCCCTCAGGACACCCCTTTGAGAAAGGGGATTGGAGCCCCAGTGAATCACCCCCAAAGTCCATAGAAATGATGGGTAACGAATTCAATAATGCGTTGACTATCAGCTCGACCTGAGGGCTCCCTTAAATAAGGAGCCCCAGAGGCGCTTACGGAGGGGTTACCGTGATCACCTCCCGGTGAGCTGCGATAGCTGGCGGAGGGCACAGGTGAAGGTGGCCAGGTGTGCAGCCTTGCCCAGGTTCCAACCCAAAGGCCTGAATCTGATTCAAGGCACTTGTGCTTTACTGCTGTTCGCCTGTAAACAGCACACCCTGTGTTTTGCTGGTCTGGGCGTGGATCCCAGATCCACCAGAATCTACCGGATCCTAGGAATCTCGGCAGCGCCTTGGGAAGCACCGTCCTACCCCTCTCGGGAAGAGATGAGAAGCCGTTTGAGTGATTGAAATGTTGTCCCCGATTGCGATGCTGCTGGAGCTGCCCTGTCGCTCTGCCACGGGTGCTCCACAGCCACGTTTGCTGCTACCTAACAGTTTTGCAAAGGATCTCTGAATCCCTCCCAGGCAGGGGCGGCAAACACAAAGGCTGTGAGGGCTTCTGCCCGTGCAGCTGAGCTGATGGTGCCCGCGGGGTTCAGAGCCGCCCCCTCCCTGCACCTTCACCTCTTGCTTTTGGCTAAAAACGGTAGCTTCCAATGAAAAGGAAGCGGGCGCTGCGTCCTCCTGCACCTGCTGGCCACTGCCGAGCTGCAGCCCACCTCAGAGGGAAAATTTCCTGCCCCCGACATTAAGCATTGAAGAGAGAGCCCTGTCTTTGAGGGTTTCCCAGCCTGGGCGCTGTTGCCGGTGAGGCCAGGAGTTCTTGGTTGTAGGGCTGCCCCAGTGCAGTTAGCAGACCCCTGGCCTCTGCCTCCTGGATGCCAGGAGCCCCCCTCCCCCGAAATGTCCCCAGACACTGCAGGTGTCCCCCACCTCGGGGACAGAATCACCTCCAGGGACGGCCACCGTGGCTGTGGATCTGAGCCCAGTTTTGCTCATGCTGATGAAGCGAAGAATGAAGTGTCGAGGGTCCTTAAGTCTGTTCCCTGCAGAAGTCCTGGCGCTTTGGTTTTTCTCCTAGAATTCTGCAAGTAGGTTCTTGCCTCGGTAAACACCTCGCAAGGCCTGCAGCCCACATGCTCGCCTGAAGTGAGTCGCGTGTAGGGATGTTCCTTTGGTTGAAAACTAACCACACGGGAAAGCAGTTTTTATTCCGGCTGGTAATGCTTTGTTTTCTCTTAAAGAAGAACTAGGAGCGTTTTCTGAGGCCCAGCTCGCAGAATCCGACAAACCAGAAATGGGTCGGCTCTTAGGCGGTGTAGAAATCTCAAAGAAAATAACTCTTGTAAAGTAACAACAAGAGGCTGGTTTGTCCCCGGGAGGAAGACTCTGAAGTGGCTGGTGTTTCCTTTTGCTTGTGTCTGTGTCTGTGGGTGAGAAACGTGTTGTCCCCTGGTCGGACGTGTGTGCTCCCCGCTGGCCGAGCCCACATCCCGCCGGGGCCTCGTCCGGGGGCCGCTGTGTGTCCGAGGTTCTGGCCGCGGACCTGCCCCGGGCCCTTGTGCAGCTCTGTCGTGTCTCCGCTCCTCCGTTTCCATGACTCCCACGGGGCGCATCCTGGTGATGCCGCCCGCAGGGGACAAGGCTGTCGCTCTCACCGCTCCCAGGACGATGGCAGCCGTGGTTTGCCTTCCGAGCCGAAAGGTGTTTGAGCTGAAAAGAGACTAGACACGCGCTCTACCGAGCATGGGCTGGGCCGCCGGGTAAAGGTCTCGTCCGCATGCAACACGAGCGGGGAGAGCGGGGTCGGCCCCTGCGGACCGTGACTCTAACGAGCGGGGAGACCGGGGTCGGCCCCTGCGGACCGTGACTCTAGCTCGCAGGCGTGTCCTGCTCTGGTTTGTAAGCAGGGCCGCCGTTTGCGGGAGCAGCGAGGGGGCAACACCGGGGGTGGCTGTGCAGGAAGGACGGGGCGCCCAGCGGGAACCACCACCCGCCCCAGCGATGCTGCGGGATCCGGGGCCTAGCGAGCCGGGCTCGGCCGGCCTCCCTCTCACGTTTTGGCGACATCGCGGGGTCTCCGCGTGTCTGGGGCTGGAAGTGTCAGGCGGGGCCGTGGGAGGTGCTCTCTGCCCCTCGTGCGAAGTGCGAAGGAGGAGAATCCGTATTAGTGGGAGACGACGTGGACTCTTGTCTCCACAGGTATTTGGGAACTGGACCTTCGGGACGCTGGTTTTCACGGTGATGGTGTTTACGGTCACCCTGAAGGTACATCCCCTGACCTGACGTGCTTCCTCCGGGCACAGTCAGCCCTCCTAGTGAGTCGTGACCCTGACGCTAACCCTGCCGGGGTCTTCTCCCCGCCACCAACTCGGCCCCGGCCCCGAGGGGCAAAGGTCAGAATTGCACAGAAGGTGGTGGAGGGATATTCTGTGGGAAGGGATGGATATTAGACTTCTTTTAAATGGCCATCTGCCCCACCCCTAGTAGAAGCAAAATCCGTCTTAATTGGAACAAATTAACGTACCGTGGAAAATTTAGCTCTTTTTCGAGTCAGGTCGGATTCTTCCTGGAATCTCATTATGAAGGTCCCAAAGCCTACCAGCCCGAGTCTTGGAAACCCCAGAGCAGCGTCCCGGGGGGAGCTATGACCAGCGCCTCGAGCCGCCGCCCGCGTCGCCCTGTGGGAGCATCTCCCTGGGATCCGGGCAGGCTTACTGGCAACGTTGAGACTCGGAGGCCGTGGGGAGCCCTTTCTCTCCATTGGAACCTAAAGTGTGTTTTTCCCAAACAGGTTGATGTAGGCATTTGAGCTAAAATTAAGGCTGTTTCCGTTCTCTTCCCGCTTCCTTCCCCAGCTGCCAGGGCTGCCAGGGCCCTGCCCAGGTAACACCACCATCAATCCCCTTTTCCCTCTTTCAGCTGGCGCTGGACACACACTACTGGACTTGGATAAACCACTTCGTGATCTGGGGGTCACTGCTGTTTTACGTCGTCTTTTCCCTCCTCTGGGGAGGAATTATCTGGTATGGAGTTGATAATTCTAGAATCATCATTATGTTACTGGCCCCGCGGTGTCTTTCCTCGAGGGCTGACTGTGTGCAGGAGGGGCATGGCGCCAGGGCTGGGTGGGGGGGCCCGCAGGGGACGAGGCGGGTGTGGTCCCTGCTCCTTTCCGCCAGGTTCTCAGTGGGGGAGACACGCTGCATCATACACGTGACAGGGGAGGAGCAGACCGGACGCTACAGCAAGGGACCTAGTTCAGATCAAAGGCTGGGGAAGGCCTCTCCAGAAAAGCTGTTATTTAAACGGAAACGTGGGAGGGAAGCACTGTCATCACCGTGGTGGGTGCGCCCGGGGAGCTGGCCTGGGCCGAGGCAGTCGGACCCCAGCCAGGGCCCTTCCTAAGGAAGGGAGCCCCACGTGCAAACACCTTGGGGCGGGGCCCGGCAGGGGAAGGAAGGTCCAGCCTGCCTCCATCGGGGACTTTAAGCAGAGGAGCGTCAGAGTCCGACTGCACTCTTAGGAAGGTCACCGTGGGTGCTGTGTTGGAAGTGAACTTGGGAGTGGAACACAGACAAGGCAGCCGTTCTAGAGACCGTTGCAGTACAGCGGTCAGTCCTGACGGGGGCAGCAAGTGGCTGCCTTTGCCGGCGCTGTTCCGTCCGCCCAGACGTCCTTTCTCACTAGCCTGCCTGGGGAGCGCCTGTTCATCTTTCGAAACCCGGCGGCCCATCAACCTCATCCACTCTTCCCTCGAGTCACCTCCCAGGCGGGCATTTCCACCTGGTCCCCCGAGCAGCTGTTCCTTCCCCTGTCACAGCGCATGCTGGATTTACCTGTAATTCTCCCGTTTACGTTTCCACCTACCCCATAAGATGGAGAATTTCCTGAGCAGGGCTGGGACTGGGGGGAGGCGAGTGAGGCCCGGGACCACAGCCTGGCCAAACGGGAGGCCAGAAGCAGTGTCCCCTCCACCTGGCGTCCCCAGTGCTGACCTCGGCTCCCGGGAGGGGCAGGGGGCCCCCGAAATGGGGGAGAGGCTTCCCGGTCCATCAGGTCCCCACGTGGAGGTTGCTGAGCTGACATCCACCCAATGACCCGCTCTGTCGCTGACCCCCCAGTGGCCAGATCCATGCATTGCACATTCTTGGAGACCAGGAAATCCAGGAAGACCAGACCAGCTTTTGGTGGGTTTCCAGCAGCCCTGCCCCAGGCCACAGATCCCTGCGGTTCTAGCGAGCTCTCCAGAGCGGCTGTGCAAATGGGAGCCTCGCCTGAGAACTCCCAGGCCGGCTCCTGGGCCTTGGGGCTTCGGAGCCAAGAAGCGGTTGTGTTTAGCCTCATCACTGCCCCTTTCCAGAGGCTTTTGTGAGTCACCTGGCAGGAGAGTCATTTCATTCTCTGTATTTTTATGGAAATTAAAAAAATATATTATGGCATAATTTTTTTTTTTTTTTGTGGTACGCGGGCCTCTCACTGCTGTGGCCCCTCCCCTTGCGGAGCACAGGCTCCGGACGCGCAGGCCCAGTGGCCACGGCTCACGGGCCCAGCCACTCCGCAGCACATGGGATCTTCCCGGACCGGGGCACGAACCCGTGTCCCCTGCATCGGCAGGCGGACTCTCAACCACTGTGCCACCAGGGAAGCCCCTATGGCATAAATTTTTAAGTATTTAATCGTTCTGCTGACGCGTGCAGATATGAATGCATGAAGATATGCATGCTTGCATATCTTCTCCACATTAATAGCTGTTGTGCAGATATGATTCTAAGGTACAAAAAATATGACCTACTTCATCTTTTAAAATCTTTCCCGCTGTTCTGAAACTGAACTTCGGGGACTTGTTTTCCCCGTTGGGATGACTTCATAGAATTCCTCTCCTTTTCCCGTGGGTTAACACGCAGCGTTACAGGGAGAGGCCACAGCCCAGTGTTAATGGGGTTAGTCCCCGCAGGCAGGCTAGGTGGCTTGTCCAGTGACTGTCGTGACAAAAGTGAAAACTTCCAGAACACATGGGCTCTTCGTGCAAGTAGAGAAAACAGACCAGGATTTCGGTGTTTCTCCTGCCATCATGTTACGTTTCTCCTTTCCCTCGACGCTGCAGGCCGTTCCTCAGTTATCAAAGGATGTACTATGTGTTCATACACATGCTGTCCAGCGGCCCCGCCTGGCTGGCCATCGTCCTGCTCGTCGCCGTCAGCCTCCTTCCCGACGTCCTCAAGAAAGTGCTGTGCAGGCAGCTGTGGCCCAGCGCCACCGAGAGAGTCCAGGTACCGCCCCGGGCGCCGTGGGGCAGCCCTTAGAAAGGGGAGCGGGAAAGGTTTGGGTTTGGAAATGCGGTCAGTCCGCCGTTACTAACGAGTTCCATGATGACACGTGGGTTTACGCCTGAACCTAGATGACCAGTGGTTAGACTTGAGCGGCTAGTCCCTGAACTAGGAAAAAGATTAAGAGAAAAAGATGAAGCCAATACAAAAGGCAAATTGTTTTTTGTACATTTTTAAAAGTTTTTTCAACTAATCATTACCTTGAAGGTAAAATGGCATTACTTTTAGGGATGGTGAATTTGGCTCAAACTTTAGCATTTATTTTGGAAAATTCTGGTTATGAGTAGTTCGGGCTGTTGTTTTCCACCCTCCCAAATGGAAGCCAACAAGCTGAATTCCGGATCCAGGAAAGATGAGAGATATGAAGTATGCCGGGACTGGCATCAGACACAAGTGGTACCCAGAGCTTCCCAAGAGTGCTCTGGCCCTCCCCGGGGTTCCTGGGGAGGGGATGTCCCCCGTCCCCTTACCCCTGTGACCCCCTGCTACCCTCTCACCCCTGTGACTTGCCCTTGGAGGTGCAGGCCTCAGGAGGAGGAGGAAGGATGCTAGTGAGAGGGCAGAGGCCACAGCAGGGCCCGTTGCTGCAGGACGCTTGTCTCACCTGTAGCAAGGTGCTTGTGCAGGTGAAGGGGGCGGGGCATGCAGGTGGGGAGGGACCGGAGGGAGGGTGACAACAGGAGAGGGTGAGTGGCACGTCCTGGGGCTGAGTCACTGGGAAGCTCAGGGGCCCCGTGGTCTCAGTCCCAAGTGCTGTTGGCCGGCTTTGGGGTGGAAAGCAGGTGGACTTGCCCCCACAAGTCCCCGCTCCCCTCCCAGCAGGTGACGGGTCGGGGGCAAAGCCTTCAGGTTCCTGGTGCTGGTTTAAAATGCTGAGCGCAGTGCCCCAGCCCTGGGGATTCTGCTGGGTTTGCAAAGTCGGTGCCCAGACGAACGCAGGAGGGGTTAGTGCAGGTCCACGTCTGACAACTTCATTACGAGTTGCACAGTCGTCTGGGGCTGTTCCCGGGCGGGACACAGGCGGGAGTGCGAGGGGAGGGATCCCGCCCGCCTGGGCTGGGCTGGGCCACGGGGCCGGTGTGGCCTGGTTTCCAGTGGCTGCAGGGACGTCCGGAGGCTGCCGCTCGTCTCACCGGACTCACCGCCTTTTCTTGTCTCTTCCCTTCTTCGTTCCTTTCGTCTTCCGGCCTCTTTGCCCAAATAACCACCTTGTTTATCGATGTGCATGGCCTCCTGACCTCTGACCTCTGGCCTCTGGGACCGGCAGACTAGGAACCAGTGCCTTTCTGTCGAGCAGCCCACCGTCTTTATGCTTTCTCAGACTTCCAGCAGTCTGACTTTCTAACGGAACAAGGTGACGCTTTTCTGTCTTTTTGCATGCTTGGGACTCAGTCGCAGGACCGCACAGGGTTGACGGTTAAGCTCGGAGCCGCGCTCGCAGGCCCGCCCCAGGCAGCACCGGGCCGCTGGCGTCGGGGACGCAGGGTGCCGGGCTCCTGCCGTCCGCGCCACTGACCCGTGCCTGCACGCGTGCCTGGGGAGCGTCAGAGCCCACTCTGCAGGCGGGACTGAGGGTCTGGTCTCCGGAGAGACCAGACTCAGGCCTTGGCACTGGGCTGCAGAGAAAGCCGGGACAGACGTGTCTGGGGTCAACTTTTTTACCAAAGTCCCTCTTAACTTTTTTAAAAAGTCTGATCATTTTTAGAAAAAGGCGCTGACCTTGCCTTAAAGGGCCGTAGCGCCTCTCTCTCGGGCACATAGAGCCATTCACACGGCGTTCTGTGGCCGCCGCCCAGGGTCGAAGGCGTTTCTTCCGGAGGCAAGGCTTCGGGGACACGGTGTATCTGTTTTCAGTCGTTTGTGTGCCTGGTGCCTCGTTTCTGTGTGCTCCGAACCAGGCACACTCTGAAGGTCTGTGTTTGGTGTTACTGCTTCACTGAGGCAGCCTGCTTAATGGGAAAATGCCTAAAGCAAAAAAAACAAAAAGGCTTTTTCCTCTTTAATAACTGTTCATATGCCACACAGCTTTAGCACTGCTTTTTAACTAGCGGGATGGTACATTTTTTAAGTTCAAGTAATTATTGGCGATCGAAATTTTTTTAATCTGATGCCCTCAGAATTTGTTAGAATAAGTTACATCATTTCATCTTGCTGTTCACACACCTGAAAACATTCAGGATGAAATTCTTAGGAACATTTTAATAAGTCACAGGAGGTGCTTCTGAGATTGGTTGAATCATGCCAACTCCAGGCTACAACTGAACTCCTCTGACTGTTGATGGGGTTCATTTAGAGTTGATCTGCAGACGCCACGCTCTGGCCGCTGGGAGAAGGGCCCTGAGCTCTGTGTGTCCGTAGCCGCGGCCGTGACCCCAGGGTGCCTGGAGCCTGCACTCCGGGCACACACAGGGTCAACGTGTTGTTGCTGGAGAACCGTCCAATTTCTGCAAAACTTGGGAGGAACAAACACTTGACTAGCCGTTTCGTGGGACGTACTGCATTTGAGATGGATGGCTGTTTCTTTCCACCTGTCCTATTAAAGCGAAAACCATGGCAGGCACCGTGTGTGTACACACATAGGTCAGTTACATATACGTGTGCATTTCTGGTTTCTACATCCATTTGCACATACAGTCGTGTGCGTTTCCACCCCTGCGAAGAGCAGCCCCCCCAGCGCTTGTCTGCTTCACCCCCTCCTCGCCGGAGAACGTTCTGCAGCTCACGCTTGTGATCCTTCAACTCCTACGATTCTCTTCTTCCTTGTTACTGAGAGACTCATACAGTTTGACTAGAAAATCTCAGTGTTCAGATGCCCGGCCCCGCTGACCTGTGGCCCTGTGACTCCTTGCACCTCCCAGATTCTGGTCTCAGTCCGGGACTCCTCTGTTTGACCAGAGACGGGGCCGAGGGACGGGGTCGGGCAGGCACACAGAGAGTGACAGGCAGGTGGACAGAGGACAGAGGGACAGGCACACAGAGAGGGACAGAGGGACAGGCAGGCACACAGAGCGGGCTAGAGGGACAGGCACAGAGCTCCTCCCTTGGGGCCGGGTGCCCGCTTGGGGAGCCCAGCCGTGCCGGGGTGGTCTCGGGGAGCGGGCAAGGCCATTAGCCAACGCCCCAGTCTGGGCAGCAGCCTCCCCGGTGGCCCGGCCTCCCCTCCGCGGGCTCAGTGTCTGTCCTCGCCTTGCAGAGGAGCTCGAGCCACCGAGCCCCGGCCGACGCCGCGCCGAGCCCTGACCGGCCTCTCCTGATGGACCCCGAGCCGCGGCCGCGGCGCGAGTAGCTGGCGGATAGGTAACGGCCGCCCGCGGGCAGCCCGGTGTGCTGTGCTCTTGCTGACTGCGCGGTTTTCCTCCAAAGTTTTGCGTGCTGTGCTGTGTCTGTTAGGTTCGTGGTCACAAAGAAAGGCCTTTACACACGTGGGTTCCATCCCAGGTAAGTGGCCTGCCCAAGAGGCCGGCTGCGTGGGCTGCGTGCCGTGCACACACACGCACACGCCTGCACACCTGTGCAGCGCACACGCCGGGTGGACATCGCCCCACACGTGTCCGGTGTTCGGCGTCCAGAGCACAGTTCATTCATTCTCATCCGTGGTGGTGGGAATGGCTTCACCTGAAAGGTCCATCAGGAAAGACCACCTTTCGAAGTAAAAAAGGGGGTCTGGAGTGAGCGGCCCGAGCCTTGGCCGGGGCAGGTGTCCAGCAGCGCCTTCAGTGTCCAGAGCAGGCGTCTCCCGCCCGGCTGCCCCTCCCCTCCCTGCCCGTTCGATCCGAACACACGCGTGGGCCGGGGAGGGGAGGTGCCTCTGGGGGCGCTGGGTAGGGCGAGGTCAGCATCCCCATTAGAGGAACCGCAGCCAGTCCGGGCCCAGGGAGGGGCTTCGTGTTTTCACGCGTGTCTTCTGCGGGACGGTGGGCCCGAGAAGGGGACACGATCGCAGCCGGGATGGTCCACGTGCCTCCTCCGTGTCTGGTCCAGCTGTGTTCAGGGGAGCCCAGGCCGGGGCAGCGAGGGCGGTGGCCACGTCGGGGCGTCGGGTCAGACGACGGGTGCTCGATGGGATTCTCGCGGGGGTCCCGGCACTGACTCTGTCCTTTCTGTTCCCGACAGACCGCGTGCTTGGTGTCACGACCACCTCTCGGGAGTCACCCCCTTGCCTCTCTGTAGACCCCAGCCCTGGGCAGCGCCCTGGGAGGGCGGGGGCGCCAGGCCCCCTCCAGCTCAGCCTCTCCCACTCCCCGCGTCCCCACCCGGCTACAGACCCCGCTCCTGTGGCCCGAGGGGAGACCGGATGCACGGATCACGGGTCCAGCCTCTAAGAGCCGCACGGTGAAGGGGGCAGGACAGGCGTCTCCGGGCGGCGACCAGGCAGGACGCACGCGAGCCCTCGGTGCACCCTGTGGGAGCAGGATCTGGGGGGATCGCGGCCCCCCCCCGGGTGAGGCCGCACCTCGACCTCCTGGGAAGCGCAGCTGAGCCTTGCAGGCGGGGTCGGGTCTGGCCCCTCCTCCCGGGCCCCAAAACCTCTGCTTTCGGAACCAGCCCAGGGACACCTCAGGACCGGCACCCCTCCCTCCCTCCTGTCCGTCCGCTGCTGGCACCGGGACCTGCGGTAGCGAGGCCGACCGCGGACGTGTCTGGTCCCACGCCCCTTCCTCCGCGGGGCTGGGGCCTGTGTGCTTCGGCACCGCCTCCTGCCTCCCCCCAGCTGCCTATGCGAAGAGGGGAACCTATCCAGTAAAGCTTCCGGCACAGATTCCGGGCAATTCCTCTTCCCGCTCCCGAGGATGCGGCTCACCGGGGCGCCCTTGCTGCGAAATGCCCGTTTTGGGGCTTGAGGGGAAGGGTGGGGTCTGGGTGCCGGAGGCCGGCCTCTGATGTGGTCCTTAGGCCCCCATTAAGAGTGGTCGGTCTCCCGGCGGTGTTGTCCCCCAGATCTGTGTGAGGCCCACAGGTCTGACAAGGTGGCCTGGGCGACCTGAAAAGCAATATCGCAGCCCTCGCCGCCACCGCGCTGACTCTGACCTAACCCTGCTCTGCCGGGGGTCCTATCCGTGTCTCCTTGTGGGGGTGAACCGTCAGAAGGCGGCTGTGCTGTAAACTCCCTGTGACTTTCCTGTACCAGTATCTTATTTCTGGAAATAACCCGTTCGATATAGCCTTAATAGTCCGTAAAGAAGACATTTCAGTTTGAGATTCAGAGGGTAAAACCAATGGCTTTTTAGGAAAGGGTCACCCAAAAGCTAAACGTTGCCCCCGCTGGATGCATGGGTGGGATTTAGGGATGTCGGTTGGGGAGTGAACACTGAGTCTACTTCCGAGATGCTCGACGTTAGGGGTTTCGGGAAGTTCAGATTTCAGTTTGATTGTATCATGTTCACCTGTAAACTATTTGTTTGAACGAGGGGATGAGTTAACAGCAAGAACAAGCGTACACAGGTAGTCGGGGTGAAGCAGGTGAAGTATAAACATACCAAAGACTAGGATGATGGACGTGGGGCCTCCAGTGAGACGGGGATGGGAGGGCGTGTCCGTCTGAGGGTCCTCCAGCCTCCGCCCCGCCCCCGTCACTCACACTCCACGTCCAGTGTGTGGTCCACACTAGACCCTGCAAACAATGGTGTGTGCATTTTTACAGTCGTTTTTAAGAACCTAAAATGGGTATAAATGTAATACACGTGGGGGACAGATTCTCTGTACGTTTAGTTAACAAATTGTTTGTAATGTATTTTTTTAGAAATCTTAAAATTCCCTTTGCACTGAAGTATTTTCATAGCTGTTTTGTTTGTTAATGTATCATATCTAGTTTTTAAAGTATGTTTTTAAAGCTTTTATTTTTTACGTTGATGGCATTTTGGCCACTTTATATTTGAATTCTGATGAACATTTTGGCTGAATGTCTCAATATCTGATGAATGTGAATTTTCAGAGTTGATTTTCTTCTCTACGCCTGTTTATTTTTGGTGTTTCTGGCGGTAGTCAGTAGCTAAAAGGCAGATTTAGAGTATGATAATTTGCTATGCTCTTTCTTCACAGTTCATTGCCATTTCATCTGCTTTTTATTTGGTTTTTAATTTCTATCCTTCAGCCTTAAAATAGCTTCTTGACGGTTCTGTGTCCTCTTTTTGCCTGTATTGAGATGGTTACCATTTACCTCGGATAAGTCAAGTCTCCTTATGAAAGTTACTGACCTTTCCATGCTCCAAAAAGTCTTCTTAAAATTGTTTGGGAAATTATTAAGTGACTGTGCCTGATAATTTGAAATAGGCGAGGGGCATGAGATCAAAAGTAAAGTCAAAGGAGGGACAGAAGAACCCACTGAAGTGACATTTCGGACGAGACAATGAGATTCCCACCTGACAGTGGGCAGCACTTACTTGCCTTACACTAACCTTAAAGCAAGTAACTTAGTTTTGAAAATCTTACAGCTGCACGTTCATCACTTATTAACATTTCCCCCGCTGGTCCAGATGTCTGGTTCCTGACCCACACGCCATCCCCCAAAGCAAGCTGTCTGTAGGCCGTGTTGCTCCGGCCACCCCCGTGGTCCTGCTTTCAGCTCCCGGCCACCCGAGGCCGCAGGTGCACACACATCCCACGTGCTACGGGGACCCTGCGGGGGCCTCTGAGCCCCACCCTCAGGACAGGTGGCTGCCAGCAGCCCTCGGACCCTCCCAGCTGCAGCGTCCCTGTGTCCGGAGCTGGGAGTAAAGACCCTCTCTTGGCAACTCCTGTTAGAACCCAAATCAGCCCATTCCTGTGCCCTTGATTCCATGGGGTGAACGCAGACCAAATGACCCGCGCCCCCCTCCCCCGGGGGGGGCCGTGGCCCCGTGAGACCCACTGGTGGCAGTGCCGGGCCACGGGAGGAGCCCAGGAGCGCCGCCTCCTGCAGTAGCCGGTTTATAGAAGCATAGTTCGGCCTGGTGAGACTTTGCAGCTTTAACTAGAGAACTGCCTCGCACATGCTGTGTAACTATTCCTGAGTTCGTGGGCGTCAACCAGAAGTTCAGGGCAAAACCTAAGGGAAGTTTCCGGCCTCTTTCTTTAAAACCACTGAGTTCATCTGTTTTGCACTGTTAATGACGTAATACAACCACTTCTGCTTTATCTTAAAATTAATGGTATTTATTTGACGACTCAGTGTAACAGCTTGCTATGCACTTTCTTTTGGAAGTTTCCCATTTGTAACTTTAAAAACAGGAAAAATGTCAGCAGGCAAACGCATTCTTTTTTCTTTTTCTTTTTTCTAGTTAGAGGGCAGGTGAATGGGGCTGGGAATCATTCTGATTCGTCTATAAACAAAGCTTTAATGAAGCTGTGTCAGAGTATTATTAAAGTGTGATTCTACTTTTGCAGAAAAAAATCTAAAGATCAGTTTATATAGCTTTATTTTTTACCTTATCGAAATATACAGAATTTTAATATGCGTATATTGTCTCTGACTTAAAGTTATAATGTGTGTCTGCATTGCTGTTTAAAATGTCCGTTCGTTATGTAATGTAATAAAAGAGAATCTTCAAAAATGTATTTAACACGAATGTTATCTCTAGGTGTTGTCATCGTAAATACTGGAATTTATTTTTAAATTATTGAATATAGTAGGTGCGTTTAAGATAATAAATCAGCCTCCAAACAGTAATGTTTAATTGATAATTATTTATTAACCTGCTTTGAAAAATTAAATTGTGAATTAAACCGAATCTTAAATTTCTGCAGAATTTATTTTGTATGCTACTGTTTTTAACTTTTATTTCTGTAGATAAAGTGTATCTTCATAATACGAATTATGATTGGACTTTTCTGCAGATTATCTAAGCCGGAGACCTGAATCTGCTTGCAATAAAGAAGAAGAAAGGTCTGGATTAGTTTCTTTACAAATTAAAAAGATCATAGAAGTTGGTCTTAACTTTCTGCTAAGAGGAGCTGCCGGGTAAACACTCTCAAAGGGAGTGTCTCTGTTTGGGATGAAGTGGACGGCACTGTGGGAGCTGGTGCCCTGGGAACGTGTGGGACCGGGTGCCTCACCGAGGCCGAGGGGCGCAGAACAGGAAGCTCAGTGTGGGATTTCCTAGCGCTGGGATCCTGCCCATCCCCCTCCAGCTGCTCCCTGACCCTCCGCCTGAGACCCCTCTCCATCTGGATTCCTCCCCTTTCCCTCCAGGCTCTCCTCCCCACTCTTGTCCAGGCCCCGGGTCCCACAGGCTCGTGGGCAGTCGGACAGAGGGCGGGTTCTGTGCGCCCAGCACCGCCATGCTCGGGTTCCTGGCCCCCCAGCCCTGGCCTCCCAGCCCCTGGCCGCTGCTCCCACCAGCACCAAGCTCCCTGTCTCCTCTGAAAGCTTCAACCTCAGAAAACTCCACACATCCTCGCACCAGGTCTCATTCCTGGGATTAGGGGACCAGGGTGGAGCCAGGTCGAGGGTCCTGAGAAAGGGCCTCCCTGGGCTGGGGCAGGACTGCCCCTTCAGGGCCGACTGGCTCCCTGGGAGGGACCAGCTCAGGCCTCTGGCTTCACCGGGCACAGTTCTAAACTGGGGGCTTTTTTCCCGGCTCCCAAACACCATGGAACAAGCACACAGCCGGGGCGAGTAACTCACCCTGAGTGGGTGACCTTGGCTGTCAGACCAAACGCCAGCAGCCAACACAGCCACAGACGCGACAGGAAGCAGATGCTGCAGGTGAGTCGGAGTCCCGGGGCTGCTGGTTGCTGTGGTCCGGTGTCCACACCTGCCTCAGGTGACCCAAACGTGTGACCACGCTAACCTCGGCAGCTGGGAGGAGCGAGCGAGGGCACCCTCGCCTGAGGCTCTGCGGTGTGAACAGCCAGCCTGCGCGCCTGTGTTCCCGTGAACACAGCCCTTTATTCTACTGGGTCGTATCCCAGCTTGATCAACACCCATGTTATTAAGCATCCTCTTTCATGGAAAAATCTTAGAAACACATAATTTCTCAATTCCTTTCTTGCACTAAGGGGATACCACTAAAACTGTATCATCGTATTAACTTCCCCACAGAAAATGCTCACCCCTTTGTACATTTTTATTATTCAGGCCGTTCGAATAATTCAGGAGCATTTAATTAGCCATCTTCTAATTCCTCATCGAGGTGCATCAGTCCTAATCGAGCCTGACGGAGGCCCAGCAGAAATCGAGAGATGCAGCATCTTTAATCGGATGAAGAATTTCTTACTCAAGACATCAAACCCCACAGCTAGTGGACAGGTGTCACGTCTAAAGGTGATCTTGAGTCAGCGCTTGACACCCAGAGAAATTTACCCTTAATGCCCCACACAGCACATTCTTCAAGGCCCCCGTGTCTTCGTTACATCGTGTTGTGTGCTCCACTGACCCATCTGCAAGGCATGAGAACTCATAACACCCCAGAAACCATGAGAAGGGCTGTGCCTTGTACCTGAGGGGCCTATGACAGACCCTGTCCCAATTTATTTGTTAAAACTTTAATGAGAAATATGGATTACTAGCTGTATTACTTATTAAGAGTATGTATTATCCTTTAAAATTAGTTATACAGGGACTTTCCTAGTGGCTCAGTTGTTAAGAATCCGCCTGCCAATGCAGGGGACACGGGTTCGAGCCCTGGTCCGGGAAGATCCCACATACCGCGGAGCCACTAAGCCCGTGCGCCACAACTACTGAGCCTGCGCACCGCAACGAAGAGTAGCCCCCGCTCGCCGCAACTAGAGAAAGACCGCACGCAGCAACGAAGACCCGATGCAGCCGAAAGTAAATAAATGAATTTCAAAGAATAGTTACACAACATCATAATTTGAAAAAGTTCACTCATCAGTGCTCTTATTCACTTGGTTTTTACAAGATCCAAAGAGAGAGAGGGGGTTGTAAAATAATCAAATTTCCTCTGAGACTCAGATAGTTTCAGTACCTTTAGAATTTTAAAAAGACCTACTGTAAAGTCTCAAAATATAAGCCAAGTATCAAAATAAACATGTGCTTTAATTAGCTAAGACTTTGTCTTGTTTATGAATGATTACAGTTCCCAAATCCTTAGAAACTAGTTGAGCAGAAAATATATGTGTTGTTAGGGACATGAAGGCTAAAACACAGACCAGTGACGCTGAATGTGTGAAACCTGAAGACTGGCTATTGCTGTAGCACTTGTAGGTCGTCTTCCAATAGTTAAGAGGAGGTCATTCCATGGGGACAGCACAGTGTGAAAGAATCACCGGGCAGCACAGTAAAGCCACTTGGAAGAAAATGTGTCTCCCGTTCCCTGGGGCTGTGGTGGCCCACGGCTCAAACACAGGAACTGACTGTCCCTCAGTCCCCAAAGCAGAAGTCTGAGATCAGGCTGGCTCCCTCGGGGCTGGGAGGGAGGGTCTGCCCCTGGGGCTCCTGGAGACCCTGTCCCTGCCTCCATCAGGCAGGCGTTCCCCTGTGCCTGTCTGTATCCCAACGTCCCATCTTTATAAGGATGTCCGTCACATTGGGTTAGGGGCCCACGCTGATGACCTTATTTTACATTAGTTGTGTCTGTAAAGACCTTATTTCCAAATAAGGTCACATTCTAAAGTGCCAGGGGTTAGGATCTCAACATACCTTTCTGGGGAGACACAATTCAACCCATCAGTCTGTTTAGGGGATCCGTGGCAGGGCACTCAGGGCGACCATGGAGGCTGTACCCTTGGGATGCGCGTGGGGAGGGAGCAGCGGGGGGGGGGGGGGGGTTGGGGGCAGAGCTCAGCTGCCTCCCCTCACCCGGGGCTGCTAACTCACTGCGGCCTCCACGTCGTCCACCTTGGGGTGCAAGCCCGTGACCACCGTGGGCCCAGCGGGTCCTGGGGGTCCTGCCCACACCGCGCCCGTGTTCACAGCCCGACTGATTCGTCCCACGGGAGCCGCCCAGAGCAGCAGCCAGCACGGGGCCTGGGGCCTGCCCGCCCCGCCGGGCCGCAGCAGAGCCGGGGCCCCGGGCCTGAGGCGCCTCAGCTCAGGAGGAGCGGGGGGGAGGGAGGGTCGGGGCCAGGATGCTGCCGACTGGGGGCCCGCTGGTCCTCCCCGCGGTTGGGGCCCCGACGCCCTAGCGATGGGGTAGGCAGCCCCCCAGCCCCCAGAGGGATGGCCCCTCAGGGCTCCTCGGGACTGCAGAGGACCGGGTCCCGTACCTGGCCTCCCGCGTGTCCCAGGGGACCCCAGGCTTCCGGAGAGCGGGGCGGTTCTCCCCGCTCGGGTGTTATCACTGCCTTTAACACAAACTTCTCTGTGGGAGCAACGCTTTCCACAAAGGATTTAATCTCAAGCGGCAAAGTTCCAAACTCCCCAAGCGGCCATCAGCAGTGACCGAGCGGGGACGCCGTCCCAGGACGGCCCTCACACCTGCCGGGCGCCCGCACGCCCGAGCTGCGCAGGGTCCAGGCCGCGAGCCCCGCCTCCGGGGAGCCCACGGGGCTGCCTGCCCGGAGGCCCTGCTCTGGCTCACCCTGGGGGCCGACACCGCGGGAGCGGAGGCTCCTCAGGCGAGCTGTTCCTTAAGCTCAGCTCCTCGGGGGCTCTTTCTAGAACTCCATTTGTGATGCTAATTTCCTTGTGCTTCCCCGGGGCCTCGGGGCCTGGAAAGCCGGGAGAGTCGGCACAAAGGGCTCACTAGGCCCCAAAGGCCGCCGCCAGCAGGGCGCCCGCCGGGCTTTTGTTCTGGGGCTTCGCTCCCCCTGAGTTACGGCGACTTTAATGAGCCCTGACTACTTCTAAGAGCACAGGGGTCTTGGGGCGTTGTCCCCCGTGTCCTGTGTCCTCCCCATGTCACTCACCACATCCCGAGGCAGAAAGCCTTCACGGGGAAGGAAAGGGGCCCCGGGCTCACTGGCCTGTTTCCGGGTGCGGGCGACTGAGAAGGGGACCCAGAACCCTTCGTGGGACGCCCGCCTTGGGGCAGCTGGGCTTCAGGTCGGAGTCCGTGCTGCCCGGCCGTGGGATCTGAGCCTGCAGATACCCTGACCGGGGTCGAGCGGGTCAGCGACTGCTTCCCCTCGTTTCCGCACCAGCGGTGCTGTCTGTTCGCACGTCTCTGTAGAGAACCCCTCCCGGGCGTGCTCGCCGCCAGGCTGCCTCTCTTTGGACTTTCACGCCTCCGGTAAGTGATACTCAAACAGCCTCTGGGAGGGCATCCCCGTGACCCAAGCCCTCGGTGTGTCATGGGAAAGAGGGACGTGGTCTTAGTTCAGGACCCCACGCTGGCACACCTGACTGGTCTCCAGGCCCTTTGAGGAGAGGCACCTGTTTCCAACCCTGGCAGGTTCTTAGGGGCGTTTCCAGTGGACCCCTCCACCCCACTTCTGTGGAGGAAACCATCCAGCTGGGGGAGTTCCCTGCCTTTACCGTCCTGTCCCCTCAGGCCACCCTCCTTCTGCAGCGGCCGCCGCTGCGCCCGTGAAGGAGCTGGTGTCCTGTCCACCCAGGAGCCCTGCCCTCCCCCGCACCCATCCCGTAGGGGGAGCGCCTGCCCGCCCAGCCCGGCGCCCCAGCCTCCGCCTGGGCTCCGGGACGCCGGGGAAGTGCACGCGGACTTGCAAGGCGATGCTGCGTGGCCGCGGGAACCGCACTTTGAGGGGAAAGCCCTTCAGAGGCGCCGCCCCGCCTCCGCAGGGGCGCCCTAGAGCCTTTGGGGTCCATGTTGGCCACCTTCGTGGCAGAAGCCCGCGCTTCTGTTACTCACATTTCCCACCGTGA